TTGACAATTCAGAAATTTAGATGCATGTTTCAAGAGCATGTTCGCATGCATGTATAAAGGGGAGAAGGTCGTGGTGTGTTTAAGGGTGAAGAAATACAGAGGAGAAGACAGATCAAGTGACTTTGCTCTTATACCTTTAAGCCCTTCATAATTTATATTCATCCCTGCTCTATTTCTGCTTGGCCGTGAATCAACACCCTCCTGAGAAGCCCAGCACATAAATGTTATGTGGAATGCAGAGTTAAATGTGACCTCTTGCCTGGCCCTTGTGGAATGTGGATCAGTGACTTCTTAGTTATGATACTAATCTTCAAATCTCTTCAAAAGAAACACACCATTTCAGAAGCTTAGATCAAGAAACTATAGATGTTGTCATGGGGGTATGTCATTCTCCCCTATCCAGAATTCTCTGGAAAGTCAGAAAAACCTTTTATGATCACTTGATAACTTGAGTTACAGGATGAACTTGTCTAGGGTGAAGCAAGTGAGGCATTTAGGGTGCAAAATTTAAGGAGACTAGAATATTACTTGGCCATTGAAAGAAATAAAGTACTGATGCATGTTACAACATAGGTGGACCATGAAAACAATTATGCTAAGTGAAAGAAGACAGTCACAAAAGACTACATATTGTATGATTTAATGTATATAAAATGTCCAGAATAAAAAAATCCATAGAGATAGAAAGTAAATTGGTGGTTGCCTAAGACTGTGAGGAGTGGGAGCACAGTGCACAAATGTGGAAGTAGATGCTGATGGGTCCCGGTTTTTTGGGGTGATGAAGATGTTCTGAAATGGATTGTGATGATGATTGCACAGCTCTGAACAGACTAGAAATCACTGAGTTGTGTACTTTACATAGGTGAATTGTATGATTTGTGAATGATATTTCAATAAAACCATTATGAAAATAAATAAGCAATAGAGACACAGTTGTCCCTGAACTGGAAGTTTCTCTTGAGCCTGAGGCTAAAGTTTTCTTTAGCTCAAAATAATTTGTATATTACGGAGGCACATCTTGGGGTGACCCATTCTGGAAGCCCACACTACTCAGCATGGTCCATGGAACTGTAGTTTCTTCATCTAGGCACTTGCTAGAAATGCAAAAACTTCTAGTCCCACCCAAGACCTACTCAGCAAAACCTGCATTTTTCTCAACATTCCCAGTGATTATCATGAATGCTAACAAATGTAAAAACACTGTGGTACGTTTACACAATGGAATATTACACAGCAGTAAAAGAGAAGAAACTCTTACATTTTGCAACAACATGGATGGACCTGGAGAAAATTATGCTAAATGAATTAGCCAATCAATGAAAAAATACCACATCTCTCACTTATATGTGGAATCTAATGAACACGGTAAACTAACAAAGAAAATAGTCAACAGTATAGTCTATTGGTACCTTAGTCAATAGTCAATAGTCTATTTGGTACATTAAATAGACTAATAGCTGCTGGAAAGGTGGCTGCAGAGAACTGGGGTGGGGATAGGAAGAAAGATGGTGTAGGGATTAATGAAAGGACATTTACTCACAACACATGAGCACAGATAATAATAAGGGGACTGATGTGGAGAGAGGAGAAGGTGGGGTTGGGAGGAGTCAGAGAAAGGGAAAAAAGTGGGAGCAACTGTAACATTATAAAAAATAAAAACAAATACATTTTTAAAAAGTCCACCCCAGACTTACTGAGGTATCATGCATGTTTCACAAGATCCTCAGCAATTATTATGCATGGTAAAGAGTGAACTAACCAACTAGCTGAACTTTCCCAATTTATCAACTTTTATAAATATTATATAGGAAACTTATGTTCTCTCATGTGTTCTAACAATCTACATAACTTTAATACACTTTACTTTCTACTCACATGCTAATTACTCAACTATATATTTTGAATTGGCATTAGAAAGCCAATAGTTAACTCGATAGTATAAATTTTCTCAACTATTACAAATACATAAAATATCAAATATACACTTTCTATTTCTATATTAAAATTATAATTTTGAAAGTCTCTCCAACTTTTTAATACTTAATTTTAACTACTGGTTTTCAAGGGGTGCTTATCTATCAACAATAAACAATTATATCATTCCAGTTAATTTTAGCTCCCTGGTTAATTTTATTAAATATTTAAAGAACTAATCCCAATCCTATATATGTGCTTTTAGAAAATAGAGTGAAAGAGCATTTCTAAGCTCATTCTGTGAGGGCACTATTTCCCTGATAAAGACATCGAAAGAAAACTACAGACTAATGTCTCTGGTGAATTCAGATGTAGAAATCCCTTTAAAAATTAGCAAACTTAATTTGTGAATAGGTAAAATGATTACCACTGTAATCCAGTGGGATTTATCTCACATGATTTTGGAGTTTTATTCTTATGTGATTTTTGGTACCACTGTACCATTAACAGTACTATGTTAACAGATTGGCTTCTAGATCTTTCTAATGGCTTTGTCTACTCAGTCAGAAATTTTAGGGGGAGTCCTTGTACTGAGAAGTGACTTTTACTATTATTATTAGTAGTATAAGAAGTACAGCAGGCTTATGTAGAAGATGCAATGGACACATAAAGGAGTCTAGTCTGCTGTGGAGAATCAGGGACTTATATTGACCCCATACGGAATGTGGTTTTGTGCCTGAAAAGAGAGCAGATATGATGAAATATTCCACAAGGAGAAGGAACGTAAGGTGTAATGTCAGATGTCAGCTGTGTTTTTGTTCTAATAGAAAGGGAGTGGGCAGGAAAACAAGAGGAGAGGTACATGAGCAAGTTCAACCTAAGGATGCTTTTCCTTTAAATCAGTGTTCTAACAATAAATATAAAGCCCTCACTCACCCCTGTACTGTACTTCAGGGAGATGCCTAACAACACTATGTTCTTTTCCCTTTTGCTAAAATAATTTTTAAATAATCATACCATATAGTAATTGTATGTTACTTTTACTTTGTTTTTAATTAGGAACTCAAGATCAGAATTAGGTTCCCTCACTGCTTTGGAAATTAGCAGCACATCTGCCTGGCTGCTAATGATTTGATAAGACTCATAATTTTGTTGGTTGGACTTACTGTGGTTACTTTTATTCTCTCCCTGATAACTTTCATTTCCTCCCATGACACTTCAAGAACTTCCTGCAGGACAAAGATTATGTGAGCAAGTGGGATGGGCTAAGACCTTGCCACCCCAAAATATGCTTCTTTGGGATATGGGCTATTTTATACTGGTCATTTTTAAGAAACAAAATACTAGGGAACAGCCTTTAAACTTCTTCCTAATTGCCTATAAGAATTTAAGAGGGCCTGCTCCTGGAAGGGAGGGTAACATCACAGATAACTATAGGTCGACATGAACTAGTGGGTGTGTGATAGGCAGGGGGGAACCTAGCAAGACTCCTCTGATCAAAGTCTTCTCTGTGTTCCATCGTTACAGGTGGCCCAGCAAACACGTAGTCACTAAACATATGCTCTTCCATCTCCATATGGAGTGCCTTCCTGCCTTTTGAAGTCCCAAACCACAGTGCCAATTTATAAGTCTTAAGGCTTCATTCAATCTGTCCTTGAATCCCACAGTCTCATGAAGCCCCTGTAGGTACATATGTAATAAATTTGGTTATTTTCTCCTGTTAACTTATCTCATGTTAACTTGATTATTAGACCTGCTAGAAGAATTTAGAGAAATAAAAGCAATATTATTTTTCATCTTCTATAACCTTTATCATTTGAAGACATTTGTGTTAAACAAATATTGTGATGTGTCTTTACAGTCAGCCATACACAATATGAGTTCATTGAGAACCGTTCCAGGCTGCAGACAACTGAAAATAAAAGAGTCCTGCGATTGAGCGGTTAGCAATCTAGTTTGAGGCTATAAAGCTTAATGCACATACTGTAACATGTGACCCCCTATAAATAGCTAATGTTTATTGAGCAACTATGGGATTTGCATTGTGTGTGTCCATGTGCATACATGTGCCGTAGCACACAAACACACACACAAAATATAATTCTCATATAAGCCTGGGAGAGGACAGCATTGTCTTTTTCTTCCCCTCTTTTTTAAACCTATGAGAAAACAGGTTTAAGGAAATTGAGTGACTCCCTTCATCTAGAAGTAGGTGGGGCCAGGCAGAGAAAGGTCCCAGGGCAGAAGGTGTTTAGTTAAATTTGTGTTGTGTGTTAAGGACTGAGGTATTTACGTCTTTTACTGGGACTACAGGCAAGGTATTTCATGTAAAGGAGACTCATCTTTCTAATCTGCAAAATGGCTCCTTCTTCATTGGGTTGTTGGAGGAATGAATGAGAAAGTGCAGGCCAAGCACTTAAGCACATTCCTAAACTCCCAAAGGCTCTGAGGGTCAACAAGTGAATTAAAAATAAACTAATGTCACTGGTAACGCTCAGAGAGGGGACTCAGGGGGCCCTTAAATCCCAGCATCTGTGATGAATATGGACTTCACTGCTTATTATTAAAAACAACCAACCAACCCACCCCTGAAACTCAAAAACTGTTTCAACAGTCTCATTGCTGCTAAACAGATTTATCTACCCATACTCTTTTCCTTAATTCTATTTGGATTCCCAAAGGCTTCTTATTTTTTTTGGCATGTGAAGGTGTGACTCAGCGTCTGGTAGGCACACCGAGCTTGAAACTAGAGAAAGAAGCAAAACCTCTCAAGCAGTGGCCTTTCCCTTGGGTAAGTCTCTCACAGGCCAAGTCTCTCCTCCCTATGGGGGACGTCCTGGGTGACAGATAAGAGGGTGTGCATGCCTGCTTCCTCCCCCTCGGCGCCAATGCCAGCGCCACAACGAGCTGGATTTTAAATGGAGGGCTGGGAGGGAGGGGAGGGGCTCGTTACAACTGTCACTCAGGTAGTGGACTTAGTGGCCGCTGGTGTGTCTCTAACCTGCCGGACCTCCCCTTCCTCTTTTCAGCCGGGAGCTTGGCGCGCCGGGGCGGGGCTAGGCCACCGGAGTCGAGGTGGGCGGAGCGCCACGGGGTGCCAGCGGCCATAAGGGCGCAGCGCGCACACCAGGCGCCGGCGACCTCAGGCTTCCGCACCTCATCCCCCTCATCCCCCTCATCCCCTCGTCCCCTCGTCCTCTAGTCCTTGCCCTGCACAGGCCCACGCTCCGCCGCACGTCTGCGCCCCCTGTGTCCAAGTCCTCTGGGCTGCTTCGGGGACATCTCCTCCTCGCTCGCTGCAGCTCAGGAAGGAGCTGCTGGCCTCAGGCTGCTCGCCTCTCTCACCATGCCCCGCATTGATGCCGACCTCAAGCTGGACTTCAAGGATGTCCTGCTCCGACCTAAGCGAAGCAGCCTCAGGAGCCGAGCAGAGGTGGGGCTCTTTGAAAGCCGCAGTGGGGTGGGATGTTTTCCGAGGTGGCGCTGGGGAGGCGGGTGGAAGGCGGTGCATTGTGGTAATACCTTGCCAGCTTTTCTGTGTCCCAGAGTGGCAGGGGTGCCCACCCCCTGTGCCTGCTCCCTCTCCACCAATTGAGGAAGGAAAACCCAGCTGGTTCCCTGTCAGGATAGGAGGTGTCTTCAAGGGGCCCAGCTGGGGCCTACAATTCTAAATCCCACTGGCAGGGTTGGGCAGAGGAAGTACACTTTAGAACTAGACCATGGAGGAGCAAAGATGAAGTGGCCAAGTGGTGAGAAAGCGTGGGGAGGCCGGACGGGTGCATTTAGGGAGAAGAGGACATAGTGGATCCAGATCATGAAAGGAGAGGAAAGACAAGGGAAGATCCTTGTGATTTTGGTGCTGTCTTGGCCGAAAACTGCTGCTGGTTGAGAGTCAGATCCAGCAATGGAATTTCTTTAAGATAACTGAGAAACCGGGAAACTTCAGGACAAAAAGTTCAGGGTGTACTTGCTGCATTTCAGTGACCATGCTGGGAGTGAGGCTGGGGACTTGTGCCTGGTGGCGCCCCTCCTAACTGGACAGCTAAAGTGCAGTTCGGTCCTAGAGAAGCTGAGAGCACTGGGGTGCAGGCATGGGGCTGGGTGGCAAACTGGATCCAAGCCTGAAGAACAGGTGGACACTGGGCTGGAAATAGCCTCCGGATGAGGATAGGGATGCCCCTGCTGGTGAGGAAGGTCAGACTCTGAAGGGTAAACTGGCTGCATGGAAAGGCAGAGTTCCATGGAGTGGTGTGCTCTGGTGACAGTGACTTTGCCTGGTCTGCTGAGAGCCAAAGAGAAAGGTGAGGAAGCTGGACTGGGTCTGAAGGCTGGGGCTGCAGGAATAAGCCAGAGGAGGCTGAGCCAGCGCACTATTTCTTACACTCCAGTCTAAAGACCATAAATAAATTGGTGAGCTGCCCACCGATGCCCAGGCCCAGCTGCAGGGCCTGGTGCTGCCAGCCAGGGACTTGTTTGGATTAGAGAGGCCTCCTGCTTCAGCCAGTGACCAGAACCAAGTCACCTCACCTCAAGCAGGAGGGTTGGCAGGCTGCAGCCAGAGAGGATGGGACAGGACAGGACTGGAGAAGGCGGCAGAGGAATGGTTAACCCTTATTATGCTAGCCTAGGTTGGATGACTGGGTGTCTGTCCTTCACCATCTTCTTTTAGATGCTAAAGAGCAGGGCAGACTTAAGAAAGAAAAATAGACAGTTTGCATGGCCGGCCTGGCCCTCCCCAAGTATAAGCTGCGGTCAGTATCTAAGGCCAGACTAAGACGAGATGTGGGGATTCGAGGCAGACTCATAATTTGGTGGCCTCAATGTTCTTAAATATTTGTTCAGAATTCACCTAGAGAGAAACTATTAAGAGAAATTATATATTTAAAACAGGGATATATTGTATGTATTTTCTGAACCAGGAAACATCTTGAGAAGGTAAAGCATTTTGAATTTATGTAATAGAATGAATTACTCTTTCCTAGGGAATAGTATGATGTCATTTGGTTTCATAATTTGGACTGATGGAAACTATTAATGTCCCAGCCTCTGATAGCGCCTTACAAGCTACATGTACACATTGCAATGAGAACTCTATGTCCTTGGGAAAGGTTTTCATATTTCTACTTTCGTGGGAGTTCGCCAGCTCTGTGCCTGGAAACCTGAGCTGACCGGCATTGCCTTTCCAGTTGGGTTCCTGTAATAGTGTAGCTTCCTGGTGTCCCAGGCACTGCCTGGCTGGCTGCCCCTCACAACCTGACCGCCTGCTGCACTGGTGTTGAGGGATGTAGTTAGGCCTAGATCTAGTCAGGCTTCTAATCCCCTCTCAGTGTTTTCTCAGTTTGCCTGAAATGTTTTTGTTAGCGGATTAAAAACTTTCATTGCACAATCAGATAAAAGCCACATGTATACCCTCTGGCAGAAGTCATACCTGAATGCAGTTTCGTAGCTGATCATAAGTGACTGGTAAATGACCGACTTTGAGCTGAACCAGAGAGCAGATCTGATTCTGCTCAGTGGAGGCAGGATGGAAAACATTCCCTGTGAGAGCAGAGTCTGGCTAAGAAGGGAGAGTTTTGACCACTGATAAGACTGATTACCAAAACTGTTTTACTTTGAGCTAGGCCCGCTGAACAGGAAATGGAGAGAAATTGATGTCCCCCTTGGAAGTTGGAGTATTCCTGTTAGGGCATTTCCACAAGTGTCACATACAATGAATATGAAGCCACCTTCCAGGGGCAAGGGGTACAGGTGGAGATGGCCCGGGTGGCCTCACAGCATTTGTACCAGATGGATGACCTTCATTTCTCAACTGGCTGTCCATTCACTGCCTTTACCCATGTCTTCCGAGCCCCGGCACACAAGAATACAGTGCCCCAGGGCTGTGGGAGGGGCATGACGTTTGTTGACTGAGGCAAGAGCCTGTCTTTATCTGATAGACCTGGAGCCTGCATGTCCTTGATTCTCTGAGCACATTCTTTTTCAGGACCCATTTCTGACTCACATGTGTCAACTTAGTCCTTATGGTAGTAAGAATTTTTTTTTAAAGAGGAAAACAAAAACTTAATGCAACTCTGACTTTGGAAGTCAGTTGTTGAGGAGAGTTTGCATCGGAGAACTGGCCACTTGTCCCAGGACAGGGAAGCATGACATGACATAGTGAGTGCTGCGTCTCCTTGACATTCTGTGCTAATTTTTCACCAGTGGTTCTCGTGAGAAGAGTAGCTGGGGATGAGACTTGGCAGATGGAGAGGAGATAGGGCTAGGAAAAAGGAAATCTGGGGTGCAGTCCAAGCTCTTTACAGACTATTTTATTAGCTGCGCCCCTCGATCAGTTTCCCCAGGCTGTTGTAACAGAGCAGCATGAACTGGAGGCTTACACAGAAGATACATGTTGTCTCACAGTTCTGGAGGCTGAAGTCCCAGATAAGATGTTGGCAGAGTTGGTTCCTTCTGAGGGCTCTGAAGGAGAATCTGTCCCAGGCTTCTCTCTCTGTGGTTGTTTACAGGGAATCTTAGGTGTTCCTTGGCTTGTAGATGCGTCACCCAGATCTCCGCCTTCATCGTCACGTGATAGCCTCTCTTTCTGTGTGTCTGTGTCCAAGTTTTCCCCTTTTAAAAGAACACCAGTCATATTGGAATGGGCCCACCCTGATGACCTCATTTTACCTTGATCATCTGCAAAGACCCTATTTCCAAACAAGGTCTTTGGTTAGGACTTTAACATCTTTGGGAGGAGACACAAGCTGTAAAAGCTTTGCTCTGTAACATTATGAGAGTTTGACTGGACTTGTTATTCACGGATGCCCCCGAATCATCTAGGAAGACACTCCAAAAATACACATCTTTTTTTTTTTTAATATTAAATTTTATTTAGTTACTTTTCAAGTACATTTTTTTTTATCTATTTCTCCCATCCCACCCCCCCCCCCGCCCGGTCTCCCCCTCCCTCCCATTCCCCCCCCCCCCCCCCCAGTCCTCATCTCTGTGTCTTTCATACTTGTTCCTCAAAATCCCTCCCCCTTTTTCCCCTTAAGTTCCCTTCCCTCTTCCCTCTGGTCGCTGCCCACTTGTTCTCTATTTCAGCATCTTTGTTTTTATTCTGTTTGCTTGTTTGTTTTATTCTTTAGCTTCCTGTCAAAGGTGAGATCATATGGTATTTGTCTTTCAGCACCTGGCCTATTTCACTCAGCATAATGCTTTCCAGTTCCATCCATGTTGTTGCAAAAGGTAGTAGCTCCTTCTTTCTCTCTGCTGCATAGAATTCCATTGTGTAAATGTACCACAATTTTTTGATCCATTCATTTACTGATGGGCACCTAGGTTGCTTCCAACTCTTGGCTATTGTAAATTGTGCTGCTATGAACATTGTGGTGCATAGGTTCTTTGAAATTGAGGTTTTAGGATTCTTGGGGTATAATCCTAGCAGTGGAATTGCTGGGTCAAAAGGCAGGTCAATTTTTATTTTTCTGAGAAAATTCCATACTGTTTTCCATAATGGTTGTACCAGTCTGCAATCCCACCAACAGTGAACTAAGGTCCCCTTTTCCCCACACCCTCTCCAACATTTGTTGTTTGTTGCTTTGTCTATGATAGCCATCCTGACTGGTGTAAAGTGGTATCTCATTGTGGTTTTAATTTGCATCTCTCTGATAGCTAACGATATTGAGCATCTCTTCATGTGTCTCTGGATATTCTGTATGTCCTCTTTAGAGAAGTGTCTGTTCAAGTCCTTTTCCCATTTTTTAATTGGGTTCGATGTCTTCCTAGAGTGGAGTCGTGTAAGTTCTTTGTATATTTTGGAGATTAAACCTTTGTCTGAGGTATCATTGGCAAATATGTTTTCCCATACATTTGGTTGTCTTTTTAATTTAATACTGTTTTCTTTAGCCATGCAGAAGCTTCAAAAATACACATCTTGTCTCCAACACAAAGGTTCTGATTTATAATGACGGAGGCCGCCCAAGCATGTGTATTTTGGACATCATCCTATGATGATTCTCACGTGTGCGGGCATGCTCTGAACTGGCTGTGGGAACCCTGTCCATTTGTGGGAGCCTGTGGCTCTCTGGTTATGTGCAGTTGCATGTGCTTCTCCTGAGAGTGGGTGGTTCCGGGGGACAGAGCACATCCAGAGGGCCGGGCTGGGCCCACAAATCATTGCTTGAGAAAGTCTAGGGCCAGAATGACATTATTCTTGCCCCTTGACCAGATGTTAACTTACTCCACTTGTGATCCAGAAGGACTACAAAGACAAGAGGCATTGTCCCTGTACTTAGACATAATGATCTACAGGTGACACAGATAATGAACAACACAGTTAATCAGAGAATTGCATTAGTCAGCACCATCCACACATCTAGGCAAAAGGGTCCCCTGACCCGTCCTTGCTGGACAGGGCCTGTGGGCTGTGCTGTTGCTTCTAGGCCCTTCTTTAGGTTCTCAGAATCCTGGATTTCTCTGTGCTCTTGACTTGGAGCTGGTTCCAAGGCCTTCTAGGTCCTCCCCCGCAGGTGTGTTTTCTCAAGAGCCATCTGTGCCGCTGGTACGCTGGCCTTGAACCTCAGAGAGTGGCCAAGTGGCAGGCGTTTGTCAGAGTGGATGTGTGTGTGTGTGCATGGGACTTAATGTGAGGACTGGGGTGTGCACACAAGGATTTGGGTGGGAAGAGGAGGGGATGTGGACTGCCTGCCCAGGCTGGCTCCCTGTGGCATCGTGTTCTGGTGCTTTCCAGGTCAGTAGTGAAATTGTGTTTGTTAAGGTAGGAGGGTAGGACAAAATGTATGCAGCACCTTGTTAGCTTGCCTTATAAGCTTGAGGTGTTTAGACATGTGGTAGGGACCTCCATTTGTGCTTTCGGGACCACTGAGGTTGGCTGACGTTAATGAAGGTATGTGTGAAGAGCTGCAGAAATATGTACTCTTGAGGTTGGGGTGGGGTGGTTTATTACTTTACATTTCCTTTCAAATCGGATTAGCGGAGGGAGAATTTGGAGGTGCTATGTTTGTTCCTGGGAGGCTGGAATAGTTCAGATACCTCTCTCAGGGAGTCACTGGTCTGTTGTGTGTGTGTGTTGATTAGGTTGAGAAGATCGTTTTATTTATCATTTTTAGGATGAAGGATTGCATAGAATCTGCCACATGGAGAAGACTGACATAGAGGGGAGAGTTCATTGCCGAGGCTGACCTTTTCCGTGAAAAACTGCGGGGTATTTTGTGGTGTGTGTGTGCATACTGCTGATAGGTTTTGGACTGCCAAGAAACCCCATTGTGAGCTCAGCTGGGTGTACAGTGTAGCATCTCTTCTAGTGCATCTTGGGAGGAGTGTAAGAGTCATTTGAGACCAAGGAATTCTAATTATTTTAAGCCTGGGAAGTCAAAATGCTGGGGCCATGAGTAGCACAGAAGGTTGCAACCAATAGACCCTGGCAATTATAGTTCATAATTTAAATATAACTCGCTTTCACTGAAGTAGAACTGAGAACCATAATGAGGAAGTTGAGAGAGGGATGGCCCGCCCCATATGCTCAGGCAGTGACAGCTTTTCATTTCCCCTAGTGACTGCTGCGTAAGGCCCGTGTGCACACGCTTATGACATCACTCTCCCGGGAAGCTCGTAGGCAGAGAGTCCTGTGTGGAGAAGCAAGAGACAGGAAAAGCTGAGGAAGCCTGAAGTGTCCCGTGCTGTGTTTTTGACATGTTGATTACAAAGTGAAACTTCTCTGAAATGAAAAAGAATAAAATAAGGAACTAGATAAACACTGGTAGGCAGTGATTACTGCTGGTGTACTCTCGAAGCCAGGATTAGTAGTGTAGGGAGATCCAGCTGATTTCAGAAGCGGAAGATTCACACCTGTGTTCCTCTCACTCATTGTCCTTGTGGTCTGTATCCATCAGAGTCCAGCCAAGGAAACGAACAGTGCTAAATATTTAAAACGGGGAATTTAATGCAAGATACCCTGCCGAGATGCCCAGTGAGCTATTGAGGCACCCCAGTGATTGGCAGCAGTGAGAAACCACTTCCAAAGGGGAGAAGGTGATCTTACTGAGGCCTGTGGGACTAGGATCACTCTGTGAAAGTCGGAGCTAAGATCGTGTGGGCCACGGCAGAGGGTTCTGGGAGAACTACCCTGACTACACCCAGGCTGTCTCCTCCCAACTTCCTAACTCTCCCCCAGTTGGCTACTCAGTGAGCCCATTGGCTGAACCCAGCCGGAAACCAATCTGGGAAGTGGATCCTGCAGGGGTGGCCTCTGTGTGATCAGAACACGGCAAGGGGTGGGGGCGAGGATCAGATCTGCGAACATTCAGGCCTGGCATCTGCCCTGGGTCAAAAAAGTGATTGTGACTGCTAGCTGTTGGTGAGCACCTCCTGGTACACTGCTTTTGCTGAACCCACCGTCATAGCCTAGCTCTCCTGGTAGCAACGTTAGTCATACACGGCCTGAAGATGCAGTTAAAATAGAATTAGAGGGCCCTCCCTCCACCTGCTGGCAAGTCAGAGGAACAAGCATTTATGTGCAGACATACGGTTGCCGCGTACTCGCCCAGCTCTTTGAAAGATGGTCCTAATTAGAGAACAGCTGAGCAGGTTGAAAGGGTAAGGAATTAATGGTTTAGAGCTCACTGCAGGGTGAATTTGGAGTGAAAGGTGAGAATTAAAGGGAGGGCCATGGTTGGCAGGGATTTTTCTGCATGGAGTGGATTTTCTGAGAAGGGAAATTGTTTCTCCAGTGCTTGGAAGTGGGGGCAGACGACATGTATGTGGGTATGTTGGGCTGGGATGGACCGGGCTGGGGACAGAGGGTGGCAGTGGGATGGGAGAGGCTTCTGAAGGAGAGGGACCTTTACAGTTTGGAGGCTGGGCTTGATGGCAGAGCCTGCAGTGCCTGGTGCTGGCAGTTGAGGTTGCTAAGGAGCCGGGTTCAGCTTTTGTACTTGGATAGCAGCGCATCACTTGGTTTCCTCAGGGACTTTCCTGTTTTGGGAACATTTGGCCAAAGAGAATCCAGGGGCTAAGGGGCATACACTTCCTAGTGTACTGCCCGCTTGCTTCAGACTCTAGAAACTCTGCCCAAATCATGCAAAGAGCAAACCACGTCTTCTCCCTTTTGTGCCAATAGGTGGATCTTGAGCGTACCTTCACGTTTCGGAACTCAAAGCAGACCTACTCAGGGATTCCCATCATTGTGGCCAACATGGACACCGTGGGGACGTTTGAGATGGCAGCAGTGATGGCACAGGTAGGCTGGTGGGCTTTTCCCCCTGCTGCTCACACTGGAGGGGCTGTCAGGACCCTCCCCTGGACTTGCTCAGACACCCCGAAGAGAAAAGGGAAATACTTGGCTCCATGGCTGTGGCCAAACGATTTCATTCTGAGTCTGAATGTTGCTGGAGTCCCTTTTGTTCTTCCCCCTTTTCAGTCAGAAATGGTGGGTGGAGTCTGGACTTGGCACTCCGTGAGATGTTCTAGAGCCCCATCCGTTTCTTCCTTGAAGATACCCCTGACAGTTTTGGAAATTAGAGGTACAGAAGGAGTTGGACATTGTGCCATATTGTAGTTAGTCGAGTGCCATGCTGTACTGATAAGAGGGCAAGTGCCTGTAAATGAAGACAGACTGCTTCGTAGCATGGTCTGCACTGCAGCATTTATTGCATTATATGGAGAAAACATGCATTGAGCACTTATGTGCCGAACACTGGATGTAATGTCACAGCTTCACCAGGTAGGTTCCTTTTGCAAATGAGGAAACTGAGGCAGAGAGTGAAAGGAGAGGTAACTTGGCCTAGGGCATCCAGCCAAGTCGAGACAGAGTCAAGATTCAAACCCAGAATAAGAGATGTGCCTCTCAATTTACACGGGCAGATTACAGCCCAAGCTCAAGGTCCCTTGTAGCCAGTTGCTAATTCATTTCCTATCAGTGGAGTAGCTAATATTCTCTCCTTGGGGAAAATAAAGGAAAAGCCTTTTGTGGGCAAGACCTTCATTTCATGCAGCTGCGTCCCGGGTACAATGCACTTGATTCATCCTACATGCCAGCATTTGCTCGCCACATGCACAGGGTGTATGTATCCATTTCCACTGATGATCCTGCCAAGTGAAAAAATAAATCCAATTAGTTGAAAGAGCTTCTCACTGTGGGCAGCAAGTCTAACCCCAGGAGGTGCGGGGAGTTGTTATTAGCCAGTGATTAGAAGGAAGATCTTCAAACAAATTATGAGCTCAAAAAATGGCATAGGTTGTGGTCTGTCTGACTCCATGATCGTTAGTTGTATTATCTGCCAGCCTTCAGCCCCCACTGAGCTTTGAGCTAGGGGCTAATAAATTAAGTGCTAAAGGAATGTGCATTTTTCTCCTCATCTTTTCCTTGCTTTGCTCTGTGACCAGCCATTGGTACTAATGAATTATGTGTTCATGTAAAAGGGGGTGGAATTGGGGTGCAATAAATAGCCCTGATTAATTCACATATCAGATTACAAGTCCATGAAAAACATACAACATGTTATGTTCTTCCCTTTTTCCCACGAATGGGAAGGCTCCCGATTAATTAAGACTCCCAATTACTGAGACAGTGTACACTGAAACAGCTTAGCATGTGTGGGCACTGTGATTTTTCAGTTTCTGGGACCCACTGAGTAGTGCAAGGTGATAAAGCCACAGCTTTTAGATGGGAACCTGGATGGAGAAACGGACCTAGAGAAGTTGGGTGAGAGGCCCTGGTTACCCGGCAGGAGCATGAGGTCTGCAGTCAGGTTTGAGTCTGGTGCTGGCCGTTGCCCCTTAGTGGCCAAGCATTTGTTAAATTGTTTTTAAATTAACATTTTTTTAAAATCGAAATTGAATTTATTGGGGTGACATTGGTTAGTAACATTATTTAAGTTCCAGGTGTACAATTCTATAATACATCGTCTGTGTATTGTATTGCATGTTCATCACCCCAAGTGAAGTCTCCTTCCATCACCACTTATCCCCCCTTTACCCTCTTCTACTCCCCCCCCCCCCACCTCCGCTCTGGAAAACACCTTGCTGTTGTCTGTGTCTGGGAGGTTTTTTGTTTTTGTTTTTGTTTTTTGCTTAATCCCTTTATCCTCATCACCCAGCCCTGCCACCCCCTCCCCTCTGACATCTGTCACTCTGCTCCCTGTCTGTGAGTCTGTTTCTAGTTTGTGAGCTTATTTTGCTCATCAGATTCCACATATGAGCGAAATCACGTGGTACTTGTCTTTCTCTGACTGGCTGCATTTTGACTTCTCACACTCCTTTCTGTCCACAAAGTGAATATTATTGTACAAAGTTGTTCTGGGAAGTAAATGAAAGAATGTTGCGAACTGCTTGAACAAGGTAGGGACTCAGCGAATGCTGGATCCATAGTCCTAGATTTAATATTACAATTTATATAATTCCTTTCCTTAGACCCCTAAACCGACTGCAGATGGGTTTAGCTTTCAGTGCGAATCATTTAGGGTGTGAACACAAGGAAAAGCTTTCATGTGTGAGTTGAGGTTCTTTGGGGGGGGCAAAGCAGAATTTGCCTTAAAGGAGGCCCTTCTTGGGAGGGGACCCGCTCTTGGCCTAATGCAGGTGCTCAGTGGGGGCGGAGCTGAGAACTCAGCCTTCTCCCTGCCCTGCCTTTTTGCAGAGCCGCCTAAGTCCTGACTGCGGTATTGTATGATCAGAATAGGATGGAAAACCTTTTTTGCGATTTTACTGGTGTAAACCTTTGTCTGCTTTTGGCTCCTAGGAGCATATTCAAAGCTAATTAATTAAACACAACTGGCAGGAATACCTGATGCTTTTGTGTGGTTGGCTCACCCTCAGCCTCATGGAGGAAGGAGGTGCACTTGACTTCTCACCCTAATGTTGCTGTTTTGTTTCCTAGCATTCCATGTTTACAGCAATTCATAAGCATTACACGCTGGATGACTGGAAGCGCTTTGCCACTAATCACCCAGAATGCCTGCAGGTATGATTATTACATTTGTTGCAGAGGATGGAAAATCTTTGGGGTTGTCAAAAAGATTCGAATCATCAGCAGGTAGACACACAGACACCTGAGAGGTCCTGCGGAAATGCAGTTGCGGTTCCCCAGCCCTTCATCATTGCAAGGGATTGGTTAAGGGAATCTGTTCTGTATCCTGTTTCAAAAATAGTAGGATTTACTTGCAAGGAGTATCTGCTTTTTTCCCTTGAAAAGTGAAGTGTTATGAGAGCTTGGGGAGAACCTCTGTTTCCTGCAAGAGGTAGATCCGGTCTGAACATTCCTTTCGGATGTAGGAAAAAAAAACACATCTAATTACAAGTTATTTCAGAATTGAATAAACAGTATGCCAGCTAAGATGGCTGTAATCAAAAGACAGAGAGTAATAAGTGTTGACACGAATGTGGAGGGAATGGAACCCTCCTGTGTTGCTGGTGCAAATGCAAAATGGTACAGCTGCTTTGGAAAACAGTTTGGCAGCTCCTCAAAAAAGTTAAACATAAGAGTTATCATAGGACTCAGCAGTTCTGGTCTTAGGCAAAGTCCTGGTGGAGGTAAAAATGTATGTCCACGTAAAAACTTGTACAGAGGCCCTGGCTGGTGTGGCTCAATGGATTGAGCACCAGCCTGCAAACCAAAGGGTCACCGATTCGATTCCTAGTCAGGGCACATGCCTGGGTTGCAGGCCAGGTCCCAGCAGGGGATGCATGAGAGGCAACCACATACTGATGTTTCTCTCCCTCTCTCTCTCCCTTCCCCTCTGTCCAAAAATAAATAAATAAATAAAATCTTTTTTAAAAAGAGAGAGAAAACTAATCCAGAGGTTTTCATAGCAGCATTGTTTATAATAGCTGACAGGTAGAAACAAGCCAGATACCTCTCTGTTATAGGTGGCAGTTACCATATTTTGCCAGGTATAATGTGCTCTTATGTATAATGCATACCCACGTTTTTGGCCAAAACTTTCAGGAAAAAAAATCTTTCACTTTAATTTTTAAATCCAATTTATTTATTTATTTGTATTTAGAAACAAAGCCAATTATCATATTCTAGGGCATGGTTGTGCATATGGTTATTGGTATTGCTTTCTAGAATAACACATTTAACACATACACAACAGTAAAAGAATTAAAAACATTTATCTAGATACAGAATTAGTACTACCCATATATAATGTGCATACTTATTTTTCCCTCAGAAATTTGGGGAGAAAAGTGCACATTACACACAGCCAAATACAATAGGTTCTTTCATGGTATCGCAAGGAAGCATTCCAAGGACCCCTGGGCGGAGACTGTGACGGGTGGAGAGAGAAGCTCCCCCTGCTGCCCCGCGTCTCATTTCCCTCTCTCCCGTCATAGAAAGAGTCCAGCCTGTCCTCAGCAAGGCCAAGACAAAAGCCAGTGTCCAGAGTTTTTGCATGGTATTAGAGCTTAGTTCTTTGGAGCCCGCAGGCAAGTGGTCTCAGTCCCCACCCGGGTAGCCTCGCTGGTTTTCCCGACTGCTCCAGTAGTCAAGTCTGTGTGGCTGCTATGGCCACGTGGCTGTGGTGAGAGGGTGCATGAGTGCACGGGGTGAATGTGGGTCACCTGGGTGAGAGAGAAAGGGGGAGAGAGAGAGGAGTGAGAGAACTGCTTTGTTCCCCTGGGATTATATTAGCTTGGGTTTGGACAGACCAGGTGCCTTTTCAAAAGAAGTAATGAACTTCCCAGGCTTCTGCAGGCTTAGATGGGTTGACATCCCTTAGTTAGATTAACAGGCCTCTGTGGTCCAGCACCTCCCTGTATGTCCCCCAACAATCTGGTACTCGAGGGGGCACAAGGAAGTGTTAGTCTCCTGGGTGAAGAAATGCTGTAGTCCCCTAGAGTTTGAAAAGTTGTAGCTTCCTGATGGAGCAGGTTTATGTTCCCCAGTCTGTTAAGCTAACTGTCCACACCCCTTTGCTCCTCTCTCTCATCAGTTGTTAGCTAAGTACCAGTGGTAACACATCCGCTGGTGAGTGAAATCTGGCCTGTCCGTGCAGTGGAGTATCATTCAGCTATGAAGAGGAATGAAGTACTGATACATGCTACAGCTGGATGAACCTTGAAAACATTTTGCCATGTGAAAAAGCCAGGCACAGAAGGACACATATGTGATTTTGTTTACATGAAATATCAGGAATAGGCAAACCTGTGGAGGCGGAAAGTAAATTAGTGGTTGCCTAAGGCTTGAGGGAGGTGAGACCCAGGAGATGAGAACTTTTTGGGGGTGCTGGAAATGGACAGAAATTGACTGTGATGGTGTTGCACCACTCCGCATATACTAAAACCCTGGAATCGTGCACTTTAAATGGGTGACCCCCATGGTATCATTATATCTTAATAAAGCTGTCTTTTTGTTTTTAAAAGGGCAGTGTGAAAATAACAAAAAGCCCCAATATAATGTGCCCGCCTGCCCTCCAGGTGCACCCAGGTGTTCCGAGCTGGTGCCAGCAGGTGTCTCTCTGCACCGGAGGCGCTCTCCTCCAAGATCATGTGATCTGTGATCGAAAGACGACTTCATGCTGCACTCCCTTGGAGGCTGCCTTGACTTTCGCTTTTTTCTTTTTCCTGTGCTTTAATTGTGTGTGGAGTTTCATTAGTGAGAAGGTAGTTTGGGAGATAGAATAATTCCAGCTCAATAGCGAATGCTTCATTTTTTTTTGCTGTATTGTGTTCAAATGAACTATTTTCCACTTCTTCCTCATCTCTGTAAGAAGTTGGGACGGCAATGAATCGGGGGTAGCGTGTGCTTCATTGGAAGCTTGGCTTTCACAGCCCAGTGTGATCATTTGACTGACTGCCCTGCCCCCTCCCATGTAAAGGCTGATTTTTCTGAAAAGGAGAAATGTTAAAAACTCAGTAGCCCTGAGAGAAACGGACTAATCCTGACTTCCACGTGCCAAACATGAGCAGAGATGAAGGGGAAGATACAAGGGCTAGCAAAGCTCCCGTGGGAGGGAGTTAGGTGTGTGTGGTGGGCAGAACTGGTCCGATCGGCAACACGGAATGCCCCTGGAGTGTCTGGGCTGTAGCGACATTGTCGTGGTTTTCTGAGAATAACAAAGATATTGATATATGTCTGTGCTCTGGCTCATGGTTTAGAGATAACAAGTTAAAATATTCTTATAATATTCCTGAAAGGTGAGATGCCGAGTCTGGGCACAATCCTGTGGCTTAGTCTCACTAGGCATACATTGCTAAACACAGGCCTTTTCCCAAAGAGCATTTTTTTGAGGAGCAGATGAGTGCTTTGGAGGGCACTGGCGCTGTGCAGGTTGGGGGAGGGGGTGTCACGGAGGAGGGAGGGCTTCCCTTGTAAACACATCCAAGTGCAGCTGGGAAAGATCACTTCAAGCTCCTTTGTTCTCGCACCCTGGGACACCTGGGCCTTTTCATAGGAACAGTGAGATCTGCAGCTTTTGGGGACACAATTTGCATGTTGAGTTTGTATTGTATTGAGAATAAAAGTGAAAATAGGAAGAAGTTTTAGATACCTTTCCCTCCAAATCCCCAAAGTGAGATGCTCATAGTGATGGCCACAGCGTTGGCGTCAGGAGGCCCAAGTTCACTGGCCTCCCCTCCCTTCTTCACAACTCTCCTCTCCTCCAGGAGGAGAATGTGCACCAGCAGTTTCACGATCTGAGTTCCACACAGACAGCGTGAGGAAAGTACACACCAAGGAGAAGGTTTCCCAAATAGTTAATAAGTTGCTTCCTAGAAGGATTCTGAGGGCCAGGGATAAGAATACACATAATTTAATGGTGGGAAAGACAGCAGGGGCAAAGTTTAGATAATTTAATAAATGAAAGTCCTTTAGCTCTGCTCTGGGTATTGCTTGAGCAGCCCGCTGTGTGTGTGTTTGACCAGGGTCACCTCAGAGGGTCGGTGTACTGTCCCCCGAGCAGGCGAATGGATGGAGGCAGGGTCCGACTTTGGAATACTACTCACAATTTATGTCTTGTACCTTTTGGTTTATTTTTGGTGTAGCACATAGCCGTGAGTTCCGGCAGTGGGGAGAGTGATCTGGAGAAGATGAGCAGCATCCTGGAAGCCGTGCCGCAGATTAAGTTCATTTGCCTGGATGTGGCCAATGGCTATTCGGAGCATTTTGTGGAATTTGTGAAACTCGTCCGTGCCAAATTTCCAGAACACACCATTATGGTAGGTATGGTGGAACATCCTGGAGATGGGGGAGCAAAAAGAGAGGCGTTCAATGTGTCAGAGGAGTTGTGTACTCCAGAGCTTCTGGTGCCTTCTGATTAGAAGACCAGTTGAAAATCACTGGAAAAGTTGGAAGCGGCTATGGAAGATCTGAAAACTAATTCACCTCTGTGAAAAGTAAAATCCAGGTCAACATCAAAGTTGGGCGGGACTCCTTATCTCTCCTTAATATCTTAGTTAAGTAAAGAAAACTTTCTTACCATGTGATACCTTTAATCACGGGTCTGGGTCAACTTCTCTCCAAATTATAAGAGAAAGTTTATGTAGAACGAACGTTACAGAGGTGAGGGAAGGGGTCCGGCTGGGCCCTGTAGGCCCAGCACAGGGGTTGCAGAGGCAGCAGAAGGGCCTCTGGAGCGAAGGGGAGAGAAAGGCCCAGGTCCTGCACCCGGAGGGAAGAGGAGGGGGTCAGGAAGGGCACAGGCGTGCTCCCGAAAGGGAGAGCCAAAGATCAGATTTTTAAAATGGAAAACCCACTGTAACTGCGTTTTATTTAACGTATTTACGCCATCGACGTCCACTCCTGTTGCCAGTAGAAATTGCTGCCGTAAGAGTTGATTCCTCAGTGTGAACATTTCACCACACTCAACTACTATTTGCAGATTATTTGGTGTATTGTTTTATCTAGGCTCATTATTCTTGACCTTTCCTGCCTTTATAATATTTTCTTAATTATTAACCCCTTCATTAGTTAGAATATATATTTGTTATTGCCAGGAAGTGTGCCTTTTCAGAAAAAGGGAACTTGAAACTCTAAGGTTAAGTTTGGCCTTTGGGAATCTATATTGTAATATGTGTGCCTTTACTGCCTTAATTAACATGGTGATTATAGATTGACCACCAGATAAGCTACCTGACTGTCCTTTTTAAATTTATTCCTCCTCACATTTTATCAGTGTAAGGAAGTTGGGAGACAGGAATTGTTTCTATTGATGGAGTTAACTGTTGTGTTAAGGATTTCCAACGAGTTTTAAGATAAATATTTTTATGTTTTCCAATCACATGAGAAGAAAGGATCAAGAATTGTCCCAAGACCAACCAGCCATACAGTGCCAGCCCTTGGGTGGCAAACGGCACCATTTATTTTACCCTTCATAAGAGAGCTGCCAGTGGCATTTTTTTGAACAGTCATACCACTTGTGGATGCCTACTGTGTTCCAGAAGGTTTACATCTGTTTTTTTCCCCTCTCTTCACAACATTCCTATAAAGAGTAGAAACTTTTGTCCCAAACTGACCACAGATGAGGACTCTTAAGCTCGTACTTCACTGTAACACCGGGGATTTTCACAAAGTCATAGATAGCATCATTAAGCAGTAAAGCTGGGATTTAAAGGCAGGTTGTTCTGAATGAAAGGTCTATCCTTGAGACTTGTTAACATGCCGCATCCTTGTTAACTTTGGTGATAAAACTCCTTTCTTCCGCTAGGCGATATGCGTGCGACCAGTTTCCTGCTTCCCAGTTCTGAGGGGGCTGACCTGTGCTGTGCTTGCCCAGGAGGGTCATGAAGTTGCCCTCTACTAGCACCCGTGGCTGGGTAGTCGTGACCGAACTGGCTCTTTTACCCCCAGCCGTCTGTGGTAACTTTGTCTCCAGAAAGGCGGAATGGAAAGCTGGACTCCAGGGGGAGCAGGAGTCCCCACCCGCCAGCTAGGACCTCGCGGCCCCAAACAGCACTTGCTATTAAATGTAAATTCTGTGAAACTACAGCTAGATGGTAGAAAGAGCATGGCAAATATTTGTTGACTAGAAGAGTCTTCTTTTTCTTTTTGTTTTTACTCCTTTTGGAGAGTCAGAAATGAGGCAGGCCCAGGATGGCTATGGACAGTCTTACCTGAGGTGGTGGAATCTAGATCTTTCCAGAAGTTTCCATTTCACCTCAAGTGTTTTAATGGCCCTGGAGAGGCAAGGGGCTAAGAAACTTGGGAAATTGTGTTTTCTATCTAGTGGCATTTTTGGGTATTGGAGCTACCAGTGAAGGTTTAAGAATCAGAAATTACGTGGATTTAATGAGTCAGCCTAGTGGTTCTACTTTCTTTTTCTTTAGTAATTCTTGCATTAAATAGTGAACCGACATACGGGAAAGTGCATAAAACTTGGATATTTAATAGTCATAAAACAGCAGCCCTGCCGTGTCCCGCATTCAGGAGCCCCACCCTGACTTGGCCAGCATTTCCTCTCTGTGTGTCTCGGGTTTCACCACCTGCCGATGCCTTCCTGGGAAAGTCACTTAATCTCACCTGTGTTGGGACCTTATGTAAATGGTAGCCTATTGCATATCTTGCATCTTCTTTTGTTCAATAGCAGGTTGCAATGCATGCGTGTTGTTTGTATGTTACCATTGTTCCTCAAATGAACCTTTTTTTAATTCCCACCCTAGGAGGTCCTTATTCGCCTTAGAGAGAGGAGAAGGGAGGGAGAGAAACATTGATTGTGCCCTGATTAGGAGACTGAACCCACACCCAGGTGTGTGCCCTGACTGGGAATTGAAGCTCTAACCGTTTGATTTATGAGCTGATGCTCCAACCATCTGAGTCACACCGGCCAGGGCCTGGAACGAATCCTTAATACTGTTTGCCAGATGCCTCACCAGCCCTTGTCCCCTCCTCTGCTTTGCTGCTGGTTGTAACACCGTTAAAGTCACCAACGGAGAAATTTTCAACCCTTTTCACCTCATGGCACAATAAACTAAGTACTAAAATTCTGTGGCACACCAAAAATATAATTTTTTGCCGATCAGACAAAAAATACGTATATGAAGCTAATTTTGATTCATTCACACCGGATAGCCATTGTTGTGTTGGCTGTTGTCATTTTTTTGACAGTCTAAGGGAAAAGAGGTTGGCACCCCTGTCGAAATAGTCAGGTATCTAATGTTTTAAAAACTCTCGTGGCACACCGGTCGAAGATCACTGCACTAACTTAATGCCCCAGAAGGTGGTGTGGCCACATGAGCTGAGCCATGTTGGAAAGGCACAAAACTTCTGAGTATCATTTTCTTCACCTCTGAAGGGAGGCCTAGGATAGTTGCACCTGGAGAATTCCAGCATGGGTCAGATGGGGTGGCGTTAGGTAAACAGGGCGGTACTCACACACAGGTGTGTGTTGCCAGTGAGTGACACAGAGGGCATGTGCTCTGAGAACTGTCGGAGATGGGAGGCTGATGGAGAAAGGATGGGGGTGGGGCGGGGTCATTTGTGTTTATTTTGGGAAGAGGGAGTAAACAGGTCCACGCTACTTCTTTTAAAAAACAGAGATACATTGGAGACCCAGAGCTTCCCATTTGCGTGCTCCCAATAGCTGGCTCTGCCTAGAGCTGAGGCAGGCTGCCCATGTGGGCACAGAGCACTTGTGTGCCACCCCTCGGGCAAACTCCAGGGACACAGGACAGTGCAGGATGGGCCGGGCTGATAGGACAAGGGACAGGGGATTGCTGCTGGTGCAGAGCCTGGGAGTTGCTGTGGGGATGAGGCTGGGAGGGGGATTGGCACTCAGTTCCCATGGCCCTCTGGGCAGCCATCAACAGCAGTGCCTCTCCTGCAGCTGCTGGCTGGGCCAGGTTGTATGAGTGTTCTTGTTGGTTTCCCCAGCAATGAACGAGAGCACTTGGCAAGTCTGGTGTTTATTCCTAAGCCATTCTTTTCCTGCACTGACCCCTGAAGTCTGTGATTCATTCAGAAACCTCCAGTGCTCTTGGTGTCCTCAGTAATTTCCTTACAGCTTCTGGAGGCATTTGTGAGAGTGCATTACTATTTGTCCAATGGTTTGAAAATGAAAGGTCTATGCTACAGGTGCCGAGTGTTGGCTGTTACAGTGTAGGGAACAGAAGGGGTGCTCAGAAATGTTCTTGGCAGAGGCTGGCAGTTCCAGTGTCCTGCACTGGGAGTGAGGGCGTGTTGCTCCCTTTGCCCGGTGTACTCTGAATTCAGATGCACACCCTTTTCTTTTGCCTTTCACCTTGGGCAAGCCTTGCTACACGTAGGGAGGGAGGAAGCAGGGGGTCGTAGAGAACATCTTTGGCAGAGAAGGGTCCTGGGCGGCGCTGGCTGTTAGAAGAGTGTAACAAGCCGGTGCATTCGAGGTGCTGTGGGAAAAGGCACTAGCACGGATGAGGCCCTTCTCGGTAATCGATAACAAATCCTTGAGTAAGGATAAGAGCACCTGCATTTAATAATCTGACACTTAGTCATAGGTCAAGGAAACTTTTCAAGGATCATGCCCAGGAGCCTGGGGTTTGGAGCCAGGCAGTCTGTCCCCAAGCCCTGTGATGTTCCCAATGTTTCTGTTACTCTATGCTGCCACCAGTCCACGTGCCAGCTCAGGCTTGCTGGGACGCAGCAGTCCCCGGGTTGGGTCTGAGACATGCTTTTGTGCTGGTGGCTTTCTGACCTGGTGCTGTGAGGAGGTAGGTCTGTGACACCTGAGCTCTTCAATTAGATTGGAGGTCCAGCTCTGTGCCCTTGGGAATGCCAGGTCAGCCACTGTGCTGGTCCCAGGTAGCCATGGGCGTGGCCTCAGCGTCTCTGCCTGTGGCCCTTGTCACCTGTCTGCATTCTACCCCACAGTCATGGTCTGAGCCACCCGAGACACGTCCCACTCCGTACCTCCTCCCAGAGAGGCGTGCACTCTCCAGTGTTCTGGCAGGTGTCTGCTGAGGGAGGTCTTAACGTAGTCAAGTGTGTCTCACTGAAGTCCGGGGACTTGTTATCACTGACCTCACCTCTCAGGCTGGGTGGGCTTCCTGGAGTTTTTGTCGTCACTGGGCTCCTCTGAACTGGACCTGTGGTAGAAGCCATGAGAGACTCAGGTGGTGCTTGTCTGTGAGAGTCAGACAGTAGATTAATGTGCCATGAAACATGGTGGTCATTGTCGTACGAGCATCTCCCACTCCCTGGTTCCCCGGGCAGGTAGATGCCATTTTCCGTACGCCTGGCACAGGGCGCCAGTTAGGCTTCGTCACATTATGTTTGGAGTCAGCGAGTTGTGGCTGTGGGCCAAACCCAGCCTGCTGCTGTTTGCTGACCTCTGCCTCGTGTCTTTCTGTAGAAAGGATTTTTCTTGGAAAAGGGCCCCCAAAAAGCCCGTAAAAAGTGGGTAGAGAAGTTATTGTTTAATGAGACAGAATTTCAGTTTGGGAAGATGAAAAAGCGCTGGAGGCAGATGGTGATGATGGTTGCACAACAGTGTCAATGTCCTTAATTATTTACAGATAGTTAACTCAGAAAATTTTATGTCATGTATATTTGACCACAATTAAAACTGAAAAAAAAAAGAAAAAGAGTAGAAGAGCCATCCACAGAAGTCACTCCGAAGCGGAGGGACTAACATGTTACTGCACCCCAGCCGTCACCGTAAACCTCACAGTGACAAGTGGGCACAGTTAGTGGTTTTACAGCAAGACAGGTTGAGACTCAGAGTTGAAGTGGTTTTCTTACGATTATGTGGGAAGTAGGAGGATCGTTGTTTGACCCCAGGTCTTTCTGAACTTATGTTGCGATAGCTATCCCGGTCTAAAGGAAAGCTGGAAAAATTGGAGCAGAACAGTTTGGACTCGGGTTTTTCTCCAGAGGACTTTGTAAAACGGTGTAGAAGTACTCGAAATGTTAGTTGGATCACCTTTATGTCCCTTCCTGGGGTGCGCGCCCTTCCTGAACCGAGGAGCAGTCCTTGCAGTCCACGTGCGGTCTCCCAGGGAGAGCGGTGCCCCAGGGAAGTCTCCACGTGGTGGCGCTGGAGCCCCGATAAGGCTCTGCGGATTCCATTTTGTTGTAGCTGCCTGAGTGACAGCTGGACGTGCTGCTGGGTGTGGCCCCATCCTGACTGTCCACAGCCCGTGCCCGCAGTGGTGCCGCAGGCCAAGATAAGTGAGTTCCTCACTAACCACCCCCCCATCCCCCCCCACCCCCGCGCCCCTGCCCTCCCGCCCCTGTCACAGCCTAGGCTGAGCAGCCTCCATCTGCCCGGGGCTTTCACTGGGGCGTGGCCGCACTCCTGTCATCGTGCCCATTTCTGATTTGGTCTTTTCCTTTTTCCCCCTTATTTATTTATTTACTTTTTTGCCCTTCTTCATTTCAAACATGGATAGACAAGCTTTTCGTTCCTGCAGGTGGAGACTCGCTCATCCCCTGCTGGTCATCGGCATTGCTGGGGTGTGTCCCTCACGCTGAGGCTCGCCCCAACCACACTCAGGGTTTTTCACACTCGGGGTTTTTCCGTGAGCAGCCCTCTCTGGGGTGACCACGTCCTTCCCTCTGGTGAGCAGTCACACAGGTAGCGGAGGAGAACTGGGGATACCAGCACAGTCTGGGCTACAACACAGTATCGCCGTCCTCCGTGCTTGGACCGTACGTGGGGGTACCTGGTTCATCCGTCATAAACCGACTTGAATTGTTTAACTGTAGGTGCAGGAGGCCCTTTGAAATAGGATGATTTGTAGGTAGCAGCAAATGGGGGGGAAATCAACATTGAAAATGAGACTGTGGGGGCTTGAAGTAGCTTAAGTATTCTTATTTTTAAATTTATTTTATTTTTAAATATTTTTATCTTATTTTTAAAAGTTTAAAAATTTATTTCCCAGAAGATCAACCAATGAAGACGAATGAACATCTTGTTTCTCAGGTTCCTATTAAGTTCCTTCTTGGGTGCAGAGTTTATGCTGGTCCTTGTGTTTTAAAAAACAGACCCCCCCCCAATATATATTTAATAAAAGTAATACAATTTATTCTGTAAAATCAAGAATATTTAAAAGAAAAAAATAAAATCCATAGGCAGTTCATTTACCTAGACATAATTTGTGAGCATCTTGGTATATCTGTTCATATACACATGTACTTGTGTGCGTGTGTTTATTTTTTAATGACAAGGAGATCTTACTATTTCCTTTTGTCTCCCCTAACATTATACTGAAAGCAGTTAAGCATTTTCCCATGCCATTAAACCAAGCTTAAAAGCATCACTTAGATGGACCCTAGATTGTTGAACCCTTCCTATTTAGGGGATTCTATTTGCCGATCTGCACTGTTATAAATAACATCCTTATTATTAAATCCTTTGACCTCATCTATGGTTATTTCCTTGAGAGAGAATCCTAGAAGTAGCCTTACTGGATCAAAGGATATAGGTGTTTTTGCATTTCTCCTATGTGGATATTTTGTTTTCTAAGACAACTTATACTAAAATAGACACCCCACCAGCAGAGAAAGAAAGTCTGTTTTCCCTTCAGTGTTTCATGTTTACAGTCATTGGCAATTTGGTAAGTGAAAAGTAGTCCCTCACTGGTATCGTAATTTAAAATGGATTATTAGTGAGGTTCAACTTTCACTGTGTCAGCTGACTGCTCTCATTTCATGAGAGTGCTCAGGTCCCGTGGCAGTTATGAAACAAGGTGTTGGCATTTCCCTGCAAATTTGGCACGGCTGCTGCAAGGCTGGGAGCCCTTCGTCCTGATTGCAGGCCGTTTTCTCCACCAGCCTGTTAACTTCTTAGCTTTGCTGGTTGTGCGAGTAAGTTTGCGTGTATATATGTATACAAGCTTTTTATTTGCAGGTAGACAGAACTGTGTTTATGGTGGTTTTTTTTTCACTTTTATGCTTATTATAAGTATTCAAGGTTTTCTTCTAAGTTTGGGGGGAATAAAACTTTTAGTTTGACTCTGTAATCCACCTGAAGCTTATTTTGGTGAAAAGTATCAGTGATAATCTATGTTTCTTCCCCAAAGATGCCTTTGCCAGCTCAGTCTGTTGAATATCGTCCCCTTCCTCAGTGACCATAGTGCTACCTCTATCATTTACTATGTTCTCCTCTGTTCTAGCCCTCTTCTGAACTACCTGTCATTTTCCATTGTCAGATGCTGTTGGGGTTAAAGTAGCTTTGAGCTGCCCTTGTCTCCCTGTCCCAAGATCCTTTTATACAGAGTTGAAAGTCACTCTGTCCAGGTTAAGAAAGAAAAATTCCCTCTGGGAATCAATTCAGTGGAAAGACAGTGGGGTTTCAATACAAAAATAAATAAGTAAATGAGTAGAATGAGTAGGGATGCAGTTCCCAAAAAAGACTTTGCACAGTTGTGAAGATTCAGTCAGGCATCTCGCCAGGTCTCCTGTGCACCAGCTGAAGAATCCACAGGGCAGTAAGTTGTAATAAAAGGGCTATTTTTGAGCTCTCAGACTCCTGCAGTGAAAGAACTTGTGCTATTTGCAACCCACAGGCATCCTTCTGGGTTTTAGATTCTGCCACTTCCTGGTTTATATGTATATTCTTAGGGTCACAGCTTCGTGTTCTGAAAACGGAGCATGTTCCAGTGCTGTTGGTCCACGGGGGCTCATCTTCCCTTTCACATCAGGTGGGGACCTCTGCCCCTAGGGCAGGACACCCAGGTGTCTTCCCAGCTGTGAGATGACCAGTAGTTTTCCCATTGCGGCCCCTGAGGCTCCAGAAAGATTTTTCAGGAGGTTTACAATCTGTGAAGCATTTTATTCCCAACAATAAAGATTTTAATAAGCTGAGAGAGTGTTGTATTGCTTATTTTATGTGTATGGGTTCTCTGTAAGACTTTATTGTCTATTCATTGCTGAAATGCTCAAAAAGCTGTGACCTAGATAGTCTAAAGTCTTGGAGCTCTAACATCACGGAGTTCTGTACTTTACCCAAACGTACTCTCCAGGGGTTATTTCTGGCTCCTATTGGATCCAATATTTTGTCTCCCTGCCCTTCTTGTTTGGAAAGGTCCCCGACTGCCTGGTGGCCTCAGGACATGCTTATCCTTCTGTCCCAGTGTGGAGTTGCTTATTCATCTTTGTACCACCAGGAGTAGTTCATGATCATGAGCTGTAGTTTTTGTCCCAGGCAGGGAATGTGGTGACAGGAGAGATGGTGGAAGAGCTGATTCTTTCCGGAGCAGATATAATCAAAGTGGGAGTTGGACCAGGTAAGACTTTCTGGGAGAACAGCAGAGGGTGTGTGGGGGGAGAAACGGGACCTGGGGCTTATGGAGATTGGAGGTGGCCAGAAGGGAGCCCATGAGGGACCCATCCCCAAGTTTAAAGTACGTTTCTCTTGGCACTCTCATTGAGCTTTTAGAAGAAGCTCCTCATTAGAAATGTTGTTGAGTTGCTATCTGATGCCCCCCAGGGAACTTAAAAATGAGCTTGGATGTGGTTAGAATGTGAGGTCCAGGTTTTAGAACGTAATTGTGGGAGAGAAAATGCAGATTTCATTAATGGCTCTATATACCTTGAAGAGGAAGATGAGGGGTGAAAAATTCATGGGACAGTTAATGGACATGAATAACCCCAGTTTCTGTGAGTGTTCCAGAGATGCCTAACATTGCAAATGTGCATGCAGCTGGGAGGCCACCTTTGAACTTGATCCGTGGCTCGGGTAGTTAGCACCTTTGGCTTCTCACCTGATACATACCCACATCAGATTTGGCCATACCCTCTGGGGCCTTCTTTCCTAGGAGGGACAGCCCGTTGGCACCCTGAGTGGGGGAAGGAGCAGGAGTCTTTCTGTCCTTCTCCCCGGGCCAGCTGACGTTTGCTGCCCCCTTCGGCCATGCCTGAGCATGAGCTTCCATGTTTTTAAATTCTTCACGTTCATGGTTAACCAGACACTAAGATGGGAGATAAGTAAAGAAGGTACACATTTTCAATTGGGAGTAAAGAGCAGCAAAGACTTAAAAATATTGCCTATCCAAAAGACGTTACTGGAATAGGAAGCAAGTCCTAACTAACAGGAGAAGAGTGTGAGGAAATGCTGTGGGCAGAAGACAGCGCTGGGCTGTAATTTACATACTTGTCAGCCTTGGGGGGAGGGTGCCCCTGAGGGGACTGTTACAGGAGAAGAGCCCTGTACGCTCATCCAAGCACCAGGCTTTTAACACACAGGGAGATTGTCAAGGTTGGGCTTTTTATATTGCCATTCACCCAAGCCAATTTGTAACATACAAACAAAATTTGTTCCTAAAGACACTGGGGAGACACGAGTGGGAAGCTGTGAAGCCACTGGTGGTGATGGGAAGCAGGAGAGGAGGCAGGGGCGCTGGGTCCCTCACCCCACTTCCGGCCCACTTTTTACACTGGCTTCAGGGTGTTTCATCATTGGCACCATGGGACTCCCAGGAAGGACTGATGGATGGCAAAGCAGCAGGGACAGGGATGCGGGTGACTCATTCATTCTGGAGCTCACACATTCTTTCAGTGTCTATTTACAGCGTCTTATGTACGGGCTCTATTCTCAGCACCCTACTACGGCAGTGAGCATCCGGAGGTCACCGTGCAGCAGAGGCAGCAGACCCTCAGCTCTTACACAAATCGTTATTTAAATGCCTCTTTTTGAAAGGAGTGCTGTGCCAAATGGCTTCCTGGAGGCAGTGATATTTGAGACGAAGCCTGAAAGATGAGAAGGGGTTAGCAAGGCCAGGGTGTTGGTACAGAGGGGAGGGTTTGGACAGAGAAAACCTCCTGGAGGGAGAATCCCTAAGGTGGGAAGAAACTCGCTGTGCAGGAGGAACTGAAAGGTCAGCCCGGCTGGAGCGTGGTCAGTGGGAAGGGGGAGATGGATGGGGGGAGAAGAGGGTGGACATTCAGGAGTGTGATGTGCGTGCTCTTGGAGCAGCGGTGCACCTGGAGGGAGAGCAGGTCTTGAGCAAGCAGACATGTGCTGAAGATGCTGGTGCTTCTGGCATGACTTGGCTTGGACCATAATGCAGATGGTCTGTGAGGACTGGCCTTGACTGTGGGGAGGACAGAGGTCGGGAGGATGAAGACATCCGGGTAGCTGACCTCAGAGTCCAGGCTGGATGGAGATGCTGGACCAGGCTGGAGATGGACTGTGAGGTCCAGAGGAACAACAGGCTGGGTGTGCCGAGGACAGAGCTGGGAGAGAAAGAGGGTGCAGGAGTAGGGTCAGCGCCAGGTGCTGAGCCAAACGATTTTCTTCCCTTATGCCATTTCGTTTCTGCTGACACCCTGTGAGGCCAGGTTTTTATTTCCATTTCACAGGCAGGGCACTGCGGTGTAGAGAAGGTAGTAATTTGACAAAAGTTGAAGGTGAAGAGGGCTGGAGGCTGTGGAGGAATCTGAGAGGCCCCTGGAAGTGTAGTGTGGTTGAGTGGAGAAGGGAAGGGCAGCAGAAAGCAATGGGGGTTGCAGTGTGGCAAGTCAGTGCGCAGCCATGAAGTGGGTGCTGTCATACGGGGTGGGATCTGTTGTAGCCATGAGCAGATGACAAGATGAGGGCCTGATGGTGTGGTTACAACCATGCACATTGAGCTCCTGGGCTGCCCTGCCTCTTGTGCCTTTCCTGTGCTGAGGAAGGTTCACCCCCATGAGTTGGGGCAGGGCTGTGGGACAGTGATGGAGGTTCATTTTGTGTCCCATTCCGCTCATTTATTAATCACCTCTCTTTGGGGTTCACTTCTTCCTCCGTCTAGGTTCCGTGTGCACCACCCGCACCAAGACGGGGGTCGGCTACCCCCAGCTGAGTGCCGTGATCGAGTGTGCTGACTCTGCCCACGGCCTGAAGGGCCACATCATCTCTGTAAGTCTGCAGGCGGGGCCTGGGGCAGATCAGGGAGTAGCTTGGGATTGCAGGACCCTGCTTCCTGGCCCTGAGGGAGCCCCGCTTCTGGTTGCCATTTACCCAGTGGCATCCTGTGGGCTTGGGAGTGAGCAGGCCCTCAGGTCCCAGCCCTGCTCCCCACTTATGCTGCAGCCAGCGAGGTGGCACACTGGTCAGTGAGAACTCTGGTCAGTAACAACTGGGAGTGGTCGGCAGCATGATGAGGGATACTCGGGGGCTTTGAGAGGGCCACTCCATACTGGGGGCTTAAGAGAAATGTATCGTCTCACAGCCCTGGAGACCAGAAGTCCAAAATCAAGGTGCTGGCAGGGCCATGAGGGCCCCAGGGAAGGCCGTGTTCCAGGCCTCTTGAGCTCCTAACAGTCCCTTGGCTTGTGGCACCATGATTCCGGTTTTCATGTCGCATCCTCCCTGTGTGCTTGTCTGACTCCGTGTCCAGATTCCTCCTTTTCATAAGAACATCAGTCATATTGCTTCAGGATAACCTCATCTCAGCTGATCACATCTGTGGTGGCGTCACATGCTAGCAGTGGGTCACCGGCTACCATAGGGAGAGCAGATTCAGTGGCCTCCTGGGGGCAGAAGTTGGGTTTTTGCAGGTTTGGACATGGAAGGAGGGGAGGAGAGGCCAAGACCAGGCCAAGACCGTGAACTCACAACACTTTCACGGAGCTCCTGGAAGAACAGCACCAAAGTGCTCAGACACCAAATATTAAGGATTAAATGAAAGTCAAGTTGCAACCCTCCATGTATCTGAGCTTCTGCTCTGCCTTGTCGATGTGACCACAGTTCAGACAGCTGAGGGGGTTATCCTGTCTCTTCCCTTCTCCATGGGATGGTCAGAACAGGACAGAATATGTGAGATGTAATTGGACGGGCTCGGATGGAAGAACTATGGCTTCCTCTTCTGTGGATGATACATATGTGTATTTTTTTTACAAATTCTGACGTAGTGACATATTGTTAGTGGTTCTATAACAATGGACTCATATTGAATATGGCAAATTAAATCTTCATCTTTTTTCAGTTGTACAATTCCTAAGCTATGTGCCCACCTAAAATAATAGGTTATTTCTTTTAAGTCCAGATGCAGTAAATTACATGTCCTGGCGGAGTGATACCTGGTAGATTTCGGCTCAGCCTTTCCGACGGTGGGGTTTGACTTCCGGGCTTCGAGGGCGCACCGACAGGCCCAGGGGCGTGCTTTCGCTTTGAGCGCTGCCACGTGTCTGAGCTGTCGCTGTTGTTCCCCCCGCCACCCCCCATATGACCCTCAGGCAACAACCGAAGCCAGGGGTCAGGTCCTTAACTCGAGGTCCAGTGCACACTTCTGTGCTCGTTCTGATTCTTCATGCAGCCTCTCCGCCTGCCCATCCATGCAGTCAGCCAGTCTTTGTGGAGCAGGTCCTACTATTGCTCTGGGAGTCGGCAGTGACTGGACATTGACTGGCTGCAGACAGAGTTCTAAGCCCCTCCACTCAATACCCTTCCTTCCCTTTAGCTTTTGCCGCAGTGAACAGATGACCACTCATTTATTGAACAACTGGTGTGTGTGAGAGGCTAACATGTAGTCGTCCCCCTACATTTGCTGAGTGAGGTGGCTGAGTGAGAAGTCATCAGACCGCACTTTCTCCAATGTGCCAGCAGTTCTCAGGGGCTCACTGTAGCCTTGTCCTGGGCCAACTGCGTGAGAGTCACCAGGGTAGCTTCTTACAGTCCACATTCCTGGACCCCATCCTCGTGAATTCAGCCCTTAGACATTGGTCTCCAAAGCACTGTATGTAATCAGTCCTGAGTCTGTGTTACCATCAAGAATCTTAATCAGAATTTAGACTCAGCATTATATTCCTTGAATGGCCACCATCTCCAAATCAGTGGAGGGCAAATTAATAGTTATGCTGTGAACATAGTCTAAGATCCCATACTTGGGCCTTTCTAGAAATTTTCAGGGGCCATTTGTAGGCAGGGTGGAGGCTCTGCTGGCACCACAGGTGACTGATGGGAAATCAGTTTGGGATCTCTTTACACAGCACACCCAGTTTACCACTTATTTACAGCAATTCCCTAAGTGTGGTGCCCAGACTGGCAGCATCGGCATCAGCTGAGAACTTGTTAGAAAATTTCAGACCCCATCCAGACCTGAATCAGAAACTCAGAGGTCGAGGCCCAGGAATCTGTTTTAACAAGCCCTCCAAGTCACCCTGATGGGCTGTCAAGGTTGAGAACCTCTGGCTTCCATAGGTCGGGTCATTGCTCCAGTCAGGTCTCATTTGCCGGCGCCAGAGAACAACTCTGGATTTCTCAGTCAGGGACGGTGGCAGCTCAGGCTTGTGCTGCTGCCGCTCTGGGTTTCTGATTTTCCATTCATGGTGAGAGATCGTCTAGGTGCGGTTAGAAGTTCAATTTGTAGCCAAAAGATCAAATGAAGTTCACAGACTTATAGGGGGTCTGTATTTGACTTTAACTGATTCCTTCTTCTCTTGTTTTAAATATTTTATTTATTTATGTTTAGAGAGGAGAAGGGAGGGAGAAAGAGAGGGAGAGAAGCATTGACTGATTGCCTTCTGTATGTACCCTGACTGGGGGGGGGGGGGCAAACCCACAACCCAGGCATGTGCCCTGACTGGGAATTGCACCAGCCACCTTTAGCTTTGCAGGACGACTGAGCCATACTGCTCAGGGCCAGCTAATCCTTTCTAAGCAGCTGAGTGTCTCGGACATCAAGGCAGCCATTTACCCACCATCCCTTTGACTGATGGGGTTTCACAAGTAGCTTTCTCCCACTTGCCAGCAGTCCTGAACCCACAGGAGACCCATCAGACGGTTTGGACCCTGCCACTCTGTCCACTTTCTTTCCAGCTGTCTCATTTCACACTTCAGTTGCTGACTTAGCACTTCCGCGCCAGTGAGGTTCAGAAGGAAGCCACCGTGCAGAGTCTGTTCTGCAGGTGCTTACTCCCGAGAGGCTGGACTCGAATCAGGTTTCTATTTATTGTGGCCCACATGGGTTGCTGAGAGGCAGAGAGGTGAAAAATTCAGGATACCCCCTACATAGGTAAAGATTAAGGTGTGACCAGTTAATTTTGTCTTGTCATCTGCTAGGGACATCACACAAAAGAAAGAATTGGAGAGGTGGAAACAGCTTTGGAGGAAGTAATGGCTGTCATTTATCGAGCATCTTCTATCTACCAGGCATAACATACATATAATCTTTAATCCTTGCAACAACCTGACAAGGTAGCTATTCTCTTTATTTGATAGGTGCATTAGTCAGGGTTTTCAGAGAAACATCCAGTAGTTTATGTGCATGTGGTGAGAGAGAGATTTATAAGGAATTGGGTCAGGTGATTATGGAGGGTGAGAAGTCCCCGGATGTGCGGCATGATGACTTGGCAAGCTGGAGACAGCTGATGGTGGGGTTTCTGTCCGTGTCTGTGGGTCTGGGCACCAGGAGGAGCCATTGTTGCCATTGGAATCAGAAGGCAGGGAAAAGCCCATTCCCAGTTTGAAGGTAGTCAGTTAGGACAAGTTCTCTTGGGGGAGGGTCAGCCTTTTTGTTCCACACAAGCCTTCAGCTGATTGGATGAGACCCACCTTCATGACGGAGGGCAATCTGCTTTACTCACTCTACTGATTCTTATGCACAGACACCCCCACAGAAACATCCAGAATAATGTTTAATCAAATATCCGGGCACTCCAAGGCCCAGTCAAGTTGGCACATACAATTAACAACCACACGAAGTGAGGAAGCTGGCTTTGAGTCCTTAAGTAACTTGTTCGATATCACACTGCTGGTAGGGAGCCGAGCCAGCACTCGGACCAGAGTCTGTCCACCTCCACTGTTCCACTCCCGCCCTTGACCGCCCTCATTAAACAATGAGGAGACTCAGAGAGGGTGAAGGATTTGCCGAAGCCATGAAGAGTGCAGGTCTTCACAGGCCAGGGCTGCTCATTTCCCCATCAAGTTGCTTTGGGAGACTTCAGCTTAATCTGTTCTGTGCCAAGGCCTTTCCCCTTTGAGTGCTCAAGTGCATCTTTAGTGCAGAGTCAAGAATCATCCCAGCTGAACCGTCGGAAAGGGAGCGATTTGAACCGGTAACCAAAATGGTTTGGACTGCGTAGTGCTTCACAGGACCTGAAAAAAGTCCTGTGCTTAGGCCAACTGGGGTGACTGTTGTCTTTTTTATGCAAGTTCAGTGTTTTAATCAGTGCACTTTATAGAGACTTTGAGAATGTGCTCATCAATTTGAGGAGGCCTGCCCTTGTGCAGGGCTGTGACGGTCAAGGGTTGGGCCGATTCAGAGCAGTGCCCAGCCCCTCCTTCCCTGCACCCATCAGTGCTCGCACCCCCCGGCCCTGACCCTCGGCAAGGAAGTGAAGGTTGGTTGGCAAATTTCATGTCAGTTTATTGATTTAATGTAGAACTTCAGACACAGCTAGACCTTTACTTAGGTCCAATCAAATTCTTTCAAATAATTTTTAGGCTTGAAAAATTCCAGATGAAGGTAAAGAAAATAAATCTGACTAGAACTGCCTTCATCTTAAGAGAACCACTGCTAATGCCTGTATAGGTGTGCTTCCAGACACGGGGAGAGTTTACTCTTAACCAGGCTTCTAATCTCGTTCTTCTCTCGTTACCGCTGTGTGACCTTGGGCAAGTCACTCAGCCTTTCGGAACCTGCCTCGCCAACCCCCTGCCCCACCTACAAAGTGTCGAGTTCAGATTCTTGTGGTGCTTAAATTAAAAAAAAAAACAAAACGGAGTTTGTAACAGTGCATAGTAGGTGCTTGATTCGGATTCCTCCGGCCTCCCCCCCCCCGTTCTCAGGATGAGCGTGTGTTTTTAAGCAGAGGAGGTTCACCGACACTTCGCGGGGCCACTTACCACCCCCCTGGTGTGATGCCTTTTCTACTAAAATATAACGCTGGCCGTTTTGAAAAGCAAAACAAGTAACCGTTTGAGTATTTGCACACTGTTGTTTAGTATATGTGTTACCGACTTTAAAAAAAAAAACAAGCAGTGCACACTTGCTGTAAAAAACAAGCTTCCCGCAGCCATGCATGTTTCTGGGCGAGTCAGTGTCTTTCTTCGGTTGCAGGGCTGTTCCTATTGCTCTGCCTCCTGAGGACGTGAAATCATGCCGTGAGCGGCTTTTGGAAATTACCTGGAAATGGCAGAAGGGAGCCCTGGCCGGAGGGCTGCGTGGGTTGGAGCGTTGTCCTGTCCACCAAAAGGCCGCGGGTTTGATCCCCGGTGGGGACACATATAGGAGGCAACCGACGTTTCTCACGTCGACGTTTCTCTCTGTCCCTTCTCTCTGAACTCATACAAACGTACCCTGGAGTAAGGACTGAATGGTTGTAGGGGACCAGTTCCTGCGCCCTGCCCCATGGTGTGACGTCGGGTGGCCCTGGGTCGCTTGTGCAGTCCAGCTTGTCGGTCTGCGCTGTCGGTCCCATGGTGCCACTCAGACGGAGCGAGCAGGTGACACGCTAAGTGTGACTTCCTCTCCACAGCACAGCACAGCGCCACGGCCTGTGAACGGTGGGTGTCCCGGGCCCCCCGGGGGCTCACTGTCTGGGAGTCCGGGTAGCACAGGCCTCCTTGAGGCAGGCCTGCTCGCTGACCACAGCAGGGCGGGAGTGCAGGACCCACAGAGACACCCTGCCAGTCCTAAGCTGCTCACTCACAGGCATGTGAGCAAAAGATATGAGGGGGGGGGTGTACGTGTGTGTTTAAAGTCAAATGCGTTAGGCACCTACTTTAACAGGAGCATGAGTTTATTTCACCTTTGGAGGTTGTCAGTTTGAAGACCCGCTTTGTAGAACTGGTCTAGATAAAGAGGTAAAACTCTTTAACAGTGATGGCAGGGCACGCGGGCATGCGGGGTCGTGAGTTTGAAAGAAAGGGCGAGTGTTCTGGAGCTTTGAGGCTCTAACCGCATATATAGAGCCACCTGCCCGCTGGGTGTGCACATGGGGACTGTGGCCGCCTGGGGGTCGGGGAAGCCACGTGGGAATAACACACTTGATGGAGGAAATACCCGCAGTCGGTTATATTCATAAAAGGAAAAGATCGAGGCTTCATACCTACCTCTTGCTCAGCACTGCAGAGAAGTGATGAAACAGCATCTGAGTTCTAGACCCCCACGGGAGTGACAGGCCTGAAGGGCAGTAGGAAAGAGGACGAGTCCCAAGGCGCCCTGCGCTCCTCAGTTGGAGCCGCCATTCGGAAAGCTCCATTCTGCACAGACGCCCTCCAGCTCCAGGGGCGCGCCCACCTTCCTGCCGGCTGTGAAGCAAGAGAGTCTGAGTGGCTTTGTTTTCTGTGTTCGTCCCAGTGCTCGCCTGGCTTCTGCGAGGCTGGGTCCACTTCCTGGGACGGGCACTTCCCTCTGAGATCTTGGTGTTTCTCCAAGACCCACACTGAGTCTGGGCTGTGTCACATGTCACCAGCCCTGGGCACCGACCCTGCCCGCCCGGTGTCTCTGCTTCCTTGCCTGTTCCCTGTCTGTCTGATCTGGCTGCTACTCCAGGCCACCCTCACCGCCCTCTGCCCCCTGGACCTCACCCAGGCCGAATTACAAATAGCAGGCAGCCTGGTTACTTTGTGCCTTTTCTGTTTGTGAGGAAGCCCAGTGGCTTTGCATCCTGGACACCGGGTACTGTGTTCCTGGTGTTTAAACATAACCCCCACAGCTGAACTGTGCTGCACAGTCCAAGGAGGACTGTCCTGCTAGGCATTCAGGCAGCCCCAGGTGGCAGAGTGGGTGTCAGGAATGTATGTATGACTAAGGCAGCCGTGCATGAAGGTGAATTAGACACACATGGCGCAGCTGGGAATATAAAGGAATTGACTCAGTGTCCTTTCTGGCTCTTAAAATAATTCAGCTCTAGTACTAAGTACATCTCACCTCATACCAGGCAGGTGGGGAGAGGTGACCAGTGATGGGAATGAACTTGGAGGGCGAATGGAGAGGTGTGTTGAGAAGGGGCTGCAGGAGCCACTCTTATGCTCAGCAGCTTCGGGGTGGTGGGCGGACTGGGGGCAGGAAGGGGCCCTGAGTTGGGGAGTGTTGGGCCTTGGCCCTGAGGGCTGTGGACTTGGCTGGGAGCAGGGATGGGTTTCAAATTCCAGTCACCCCAGGGTAGAGGGACAGCCCGGGAGAGCCCCCTCTGACATCTTTGCTTTTTCCTCTTTGAAGGACGGAGGCTGCACGTGTCCAGGAGATGTCGCCAAAGCCTTTGGTAAGGAGAATGGAGGGCGAGGAGGGAACTCCCTGCAGGAGCTGGCTGCGGGGTGGGGACTGGGAACTTGGTGGGACGTGGAATGAGGCAGTGGAAACTGGAAGGATGTCTGGGCCAGTCCTGAGTGCCCGCTGCCTGGATTTTAGGCCCAACAGGCCCAAATTCTGGCACCAGTTTCACTCTGGCTGGTGGCAGGGCACTTGGGGATAGATCTAGGGACAGTGTCCTGCCAGCCGGGAGTGGGCCAAGTCATGGCTTGGATGTCATGGTGGAGAAGGCCCAAGGCGCCCTTGGGAAAGGCCAGTAGCAGGTCCGGGACGCAGTAACTTCAGGGAGGGCCTTTGGGGAAACCCCAGAGGAGGGCCGGCTTCGCCCCAGCAGTTTCTTACCCGAGTCCGAGGAGCCCACTCCCCACGGAGGACAGCAGTGTCCAGCCGTGTGAGAGGGTGGGGCGGGCACCTGGGGTCCCAGCCAGGGGATCCCGGGTTTTTCTTGCGGAAGCACTCGGAGGTCCAGCATGTCCATATGCTGTGCCTGCCCCTTGACCTTTGTGAGCTTCGCTCAGAATTCAGAGCTGGCTGCACAGCTGGGTGGTGCCGGTGGCTTTTCTCTGTGTCTGCGTTCAGTGGTTCTGCCTGTGCGCTTCTTCATCGCTGGTTCAGAGTGCACCCCATAGAACGTCTTAGGCGAGGCATTGGCTTAAGAAAAACAAAACAAAAAAAGTGACAAAAGGAAACCTGGGGCAGTGTTCTAGCAGCTGGGTTTGTAGTAACCATGGAGACTGTCCAGGGGACAAGGCTCCAAAGAGGCAAATGACAAAGTCAGGGGCGGGGCAGGGAGAACACCGGACCCTGGCTGTTCTCATGTTCTCAGCTGCCCCTTGATCAGGGCCGGCCGGCCAAGGACAGTTTTGCTATTGATTTTTGAGCTACATCTTCATACTGACGGGTGTCCCGCCCGGGGCTCCCTGTTGAGCGCGGGGCTGAGCACACTGTAGAGTGACGGGTCCTGAGGAAGGAGCCACGTAGATAATAGATCCGAGCGATGCTCCTGGTGTCTTCTCCTCATCCCCGCTCCTTCCGGTGGGTGCAGCCAGGAACTGAGTGGGTGTGAGGGAGACGGGCCTTATCAGGGAAAATGTGGGCTGGGAAAGGACGTGAGAGTGTTCGGAAATGAAAATGATTAGCCACGTCAGGGCATCATGTGAGGGGTCTGAGCCCTGAGTTCCTGCTGTTCACATCTGCTCCCGGAACTGTGGTCCTCAGGAGGCCTGGTTGGACTCCAGTTTGCTGGCCCCGTATAATCATGGCAAGGGGGCCGAGGAGCCCGCAGTTGTGTTCAGGACCCTGCAAGGAATGGCCTTCAAAGCTTGTCGCCACATAGAAAGGTCCCATGGTGCCCGCTTGCCTGACTGCAGGCCAGGGGCCTGCCCTGCACGGCCAGAGCCCTCTTACAAATATGTAAACAGCCGGAGGGCAGAGGTCAAGGCCACTTTTCAGGGGTTCCTATGCTTGCCCCTCCCTGCCCTTCATCCTTATGACTTAGTACACCTGGACCCTGATGCCCTCGTGTTCCGAGAGCATACCCTCAGTGGGACTGCCCGGGCAGAGCCGTCGGTGCAGTTGTGTTTGCAGCAGTCAGTGGAGAGCCGTCTGCGGTTACCTGTGGACAGGATGGGGCGCGGGACAGTTTCTGTTCCTTCCACGTACACCTTTTACTTTCCGACTAGTCACTCTGCATCTCCCAGGTGCCATGCACTGTGACAGACCCTGGGGACACAGCTGTGAGCCAGCCCTGCTGGTCCGGCTGGTCCCGGCCCTGCTCCAGCCTCCACAGGCAGCCTGGGTGGCCGGCCTCCGCTGTGCCCAGCCTGGGAGTTTCACACCATTGGGTGGCTCCTATGGGATATTACTTACTCTGGAAGTCAGATATTGATCACAACAGAGGTGAGATAGAGTTCTACGGGGTATATTGTATATATGTGCATACGTGCACGTGGAGGTTTCTGTCCTCCATGCCCAGGCTCTCGAATAGGGGGTTCAGTCTGTCCTGAGGGCTCCTCACAGCCTCTGCAGAGTGCAAGGCCTAGGGCGCAGGCGGACCAGGCACCAGGCAGGGACAGTGTGGAGGAGCTACTGCGTTAGGTGTGAGACTGGACAGCGTGTCCTCTGCAGTGCTGCTCTGCTCTGGGTGTCTCTGGCTCCAAAAGAGCCAGACCGCAGGGATGCGTCATTTTTAACTCCTCGGGCCTGTCCAGTGTGTTAACCCCCGCCATTCAGGAGGCTGCATTTGTTTCCTGAGTGTCCAGTGCCCCACTCCCTACGCAGGGACCATTCTTACATTTTTTCCAAAGGGGAGACGTTGAGCTTTTCTCTTGACGACAGCTAGGGGACGGGTGAGTTAGGGGAGCACTTGGATGTCTCCAGAGCCGACTTCCTCTGAGCTCTTTCCTCTGCTGCTTCCTTTGGTCCCCACGATGGGCGTTTAGGAGCCGGGGCTGATTTTGTCATGCTCGGAGGGATGTTTTCAGGCCACACCGAGTGTGCTGGAGAGGTGATCGAGAGGAATGGGCAGAAGCTCAAGCTCTTCTACGGGATGAGCTCCGAAACAGCAATGAAGAAGCACGCGGGAGGCGTAGCCGAGTACAGGTAAGGGGCAGAGGGAAGGCGTCTCACTCTGGAGGACTCCACCTTGCCCTGCTTGTTACAGAAGTGGGGTGGACGGAGGTCTCAGAGACGGTCGCTTCTGCTTGCATTAAAGTACCATGGAAAGGGGCCAGAAAACCCATCTTGCTCTTTTAAAATAGCCATACTCTTTACCCGACTAGTATTTGTAGTGTTTGGGGCCTTCAAAGGGCAGTGAGAGCAGAAGTGTTTTCGGGTGGGTTGGAAATGTGAGTAGGGGAAAGTGTGAGTAGGTGTGACTCCTGCTCAGCCAGTCCTGCAGGTGACGCTGCAGACTTCCAGGGCGTGAGCAGGGAGGACACGGCCTTGTCCTTCTGATGGAGCCTCGGCCAAACTGCCCCAGTCCCTGCCAACCTCTGGCCTGGCAGGCGTTCCAGCCGCAAGAACTGGGTCGAAGAGTGGGTCTCCCACTGCCTGTGAAACAGGTGTGGGCTGGAGCGCCACCAGGGGCCGGGCTTTCTTGAATGTTGTTTCACCTGTGGCAGCCCCGGTAGGGCTCCTACCTGCCTCCAGACTCTGACAGCTGGCGCAGGCAGCATCTTTGGCCATTTAATCGTCACTCATTGCAGAAGGGATGGTCACTTCTGCCTATCTTTTTTTAAAAAACCTTTCATCTCAAAAGATTATCTGGCCTTTATTTCACTTCCATTTTATTTTATTTTTTAAAATTTATTGGGGCGACATTGGTTAATAAAAGTATATAGGTTTCAAGTATACAAATCACTCCTATTTTAATCGTCTGCATGTGTTTTAAGAACCTTATGACGGAATATACCCACCGCCTCGCCCTGCCCAGAGAGTCTGCCGCCGCTGCTGCCTGGCTTTAGCGCTGACGGCAGGCTGCTGCTCGAGGGGCAGGATGGGAAGTCCTGGGTCCTGGGAAGGGACGAAGTCCTCCGACAGGGCCAGTCGCCTGTCTCCAGGACGCCTCCGGCACTGGCATGGAAACCCGAGCCCTGCGAGGCTGACACCCTCCATTTCCTTCCTGTCTTTCCCGCCCGACAGCTCACTGTGAGCACAGGGGATTCAGATGCGTTAGATAAGGTTCAAGCCAGTCCAGAGTTAAAAACCAGACCCGGCCAAGAGTTACAGGCGGACGGGTGGTATGGGGTACTCCCCGGAGTTCTGTTCTCCACTGGGGGACTTCAGTCCTCATTCTTCCCAGTCTGTTCCTCTTTTGGGGCACACCGCAGTAAAGATGATAGTACAGTGTGGGAGAGGCTGGGTGGGAGAGAGGAGTAGGGGACTCTGTTTATACCGTCACCCTGGCAGCCCGGGGCAGTCAGAACAAGGGAGCCCGCCTCCCTCCGCAGCCTGAGGAGGATGGCTTTCTCCCGTGTGGTCGCTGATGGAGGAGGTTTCCAGGTTTGTGGGGAGTGGCGGGCAGGAGGATGTGGGGCCACTGCCTCAGTGCTAACCTGCACCCCCAGCCAAGCGCTCTGTCTTCACCAGCAGCCCCGGGCTGGTGCACCGCCTCCCGGCTCCAGGTTGTCGGTGGAGCCCTGGTGACTGGGCAGCAGCTGGCTGCTTCGCCTGGAGCACTTTTGCCCTCTAGCTGTCACAGCTGGTTTGGGTTCTAAGAAAAGCAGATAGGGAAGGCCTGGCTAGGCTCTAGCACAAGCAGAAACCAAGGGCCGAAAGAAACACCGTCTCCCGTAATTTCAGCAGGGTCTAGACATCACAGAAAATATTCGGGAGTGTTAAGACTCAGTTCTGGCGTGGACTGGAATCTTAGACAAGGAAGGGATGCGCCGAAGGACTCAGAACCTTAGTCCGAAGGCAGCCTGGGCCCTGCAGGCTGTATCTGCCCGCTCGCTGCCCACACCCCCACTCTCCCTCGCTCTCTCTTCCCCATCCTGCCCCCTCCCCTCCCCTTTCTCCCTCTTTTTTTCCTCTTCTTCCTCCCCCCTTCCTTTTCTTCCCCTGGCTGTTAGCAGCCTCATCCCCCATTACCTCCTCACAAGAATGGTTCTCCTAGTTGACATTATATTTAATTAAGACACTTATGCTTTCCTAACTCCTTCCCAGCCATTAACCATTTATCTAGTTCTCACACTGTCCATGGGAGATAGATCAAAGTACCTTTGTTTTACAGATGAGAAGACTTGAGCATTAACAGTAAATGACTGGCAGAAGCTGCCGTCACCGGTTAGCAGAGACAACGATGAGAAGCTGGATAATTTCTAATAAGCACCAGGAAGGGCCCTGGGGAGAATTAAATGCCAGTCATTGCCGGTGCACATGCATAGATGCTGGTCTCTGGTCACAGAGTGCAGTGACATGAGCCATTTTGCATGTGACCAGTGACTTGCTTCATGACGTTGGTGCCCTAAGCCAGCCACTAGGCTACTAGCTTGGTCTAGTCAGTGGTTTAAATAGCTCCATTTCACTGGAGGGTAGTCTTGTATGTGTACATTTTGGTGTATAACAGTTAATACCCTTTTGAAATCCTAGGTAGAGATCAGCTAGAGAAAGTGCCAGTAACAATTTGGTTAGTTGTTATAACTTCTAGATTGTCTGGCCCTTGAGGGCCAGCATTTTATGTAGATTTGGGATTTCTTTCTGGACATGTCTCTCCATTTTGCAGTATGGGGACCTGATGTGTAGAATCAAACAGTGTCACTTGGTGGCCTTGTGGAGAGCGGACAACTCAGCAAGGACAGCTGGCTGTTGCTTAGTGTTTGCCCTGTACGCCAGGCGGGAGTTTCTAAATGTTCCTCTGACAGTGGGAAAGGTGCTCGCCAAAGCCCTCAAGTCTCTGGAGCCCAGCAAGTCCTCGGTTCTACCTGGTTCCACATTGCTGGGACCTTACCCCATGGCCAGGGCGGCAGGTGTGACTTGTGCAGGTGCAGGCAGGAAGCTGGGGGTTGTGCCAGCAAAGGGCCACCCTGGAAGGACACGTTCGAGGGGATTCACTTTATCTTGCTGGCGGAGGTTCCTATGTAACCTGGTAGGGCTTGAGTGGTTCACTTTATCAGCGGTCTCCTCCTCCTCCTCTTGATTGTCCCCTTTGAAGACATCTGACCTGGCATGCAGGAGGGTGGAGCTCCAGGCTGCTTCTGTTGCTGGTCAGGGAGGACGAGCAGACGAGGCGGCGGCAGGGGTGCCAGGTCTGCTCTGGGTCAGTTGGTGACCGGTGTGCAGATTAAGATGGAGTAGAAAGATGCAGTTAGTTTCCGCAGGGGCCCAGTCCGGGTCCGTGCCGAGGGGAATGCCATTGTGCGGGATGCTGCGGGCCTGCTTCTTCCAGGGCTGCTGACAGAGTTTCCTTTCCCTGGCGCTCTGAGCGGCCAGCAGCAAGGCCGTGCATTTTGGGTGGGAGGGCCGTGTTTGTCTGACACGCTGGCTTGGTCAGCTCGGCTTTTGTAGCGGTCTGCGCGTGGGGTCGGGGTGGTGTGTAGCTACCTGAGGGCCCTAGGGCTGCGTCTGGTGCTAAAAGTGGGGATAATTCTGGCTGGTTCTTAAGAGAAAGTAACCCGATTGAAAGGAACACTTCCTTTTTCTTCCAGAGCCTCTGAGGGCAAGACTGTGGAAGTGCCTTACAAAGGGGACGTAGAAAACACAATTCTGGATATTCTCGGGGGACTGAGGTCTACCTGCACCTATGTGGGGGCCGCCAAGCTCAAAGAGCTCAGCAGGAGGGCGACGTTCATCCGGGTGACCCAACAGCACAACACGGTGTTCAGCTAACCTTGCGGATGAGCTGCCAGTCCTGCCCACGGAAGCTCCCACACTCAACCACGCTCACACCGTCTTCCTGTTACAGCAGTGCTTCTGGCTGCTCCTGAATGCTGGAATGCTGCCTCCTCCTCCCGCTCCTGCTGCCTGGAGGCTCTGGGGCTCCCCTAGTGCCTTGGTGGGGGGCTGGGAAGCGGAGCACTGATAGGGTCAGTGGTCAGAGCCCAGCTGCCCGGGACCCATAACCTCATTGTTAAAACTAACACTCTTACCTTTTTCTTTCTTTTTAAAAAAGGAAATGATTTCACTTTAATATAATGCTGTTAAGACTTACCCGAGTCCTGGAGTTTGCATTTTCGGGAACCAAGTTGTAGAGGAGGCTGGGCGTTTGCCGCCTCCCTCCCAGACACGCTCACGGCTCTGAGGCCAGGCCGCAGTGGGTGAGGGCAGTTAGAGGAAGAGGCATCACCTCCCTCCAGCCTCTGTCTGCTGGAGAAGAACAAAACCAAGAGCAGGGATGGGTTTGAGAACTGGTGTCCTGCGGTTACTCTCGAGGTGTGGCAGCGTGTTTCACATCTCTGTCACACACGTGCCTGGGGGAACAGGTCGTCCCTCTGTCCCTGCCAGTCCGGGGCTCCTTCTGGGCAGCCGACCCCGTCCTGGCTTTTCACTGCCTTTTGTTGCCACCATCTCTTCCTCTTCCTTTCTGAGTCCTAACTTGCCAGGCTGGCCTCTCTCTTAAAGAGATTATACATTCTTTTGAAATTCCACAGGATATTTTATTGAAAGGTCACCCACCAGCAAATTAGCAGCTGGAGTCCCATTGAGAAAACAGCAAAAACCTTGACTGGTGGATTCCTAAAACACTGGTTTAAAATATGAGTCAGAACCGTTCCCTTGGGGTGATCAGTACTTTGAAGGAAGGACCACACGTACTCCCGGGGGATGGTCGGCCCCTCGGTACGTGGGTGTTTTCTTGGAGAAGGGACCCGTGGCCTGGGCAGGAGCCCTCCAGTGGCCACCGTGGCCCTCGTTTTCGAGTGGACAGGGCTGGATGCGTGACAGCTGGCCACTCTGAAGCATTGTTGGAGTGACAGGACCAGGATGTATTACATGTGTTCTTTTATTTACTTCTAAAGAAGCAGAAAGAGGAGTAAATTTTTCTCTGGAAAAGGCAAACGATGGCCCTGCAGTAAGGAAGGGCCACATGCTCCCACTGTATGAAGGTGAATTAATTGCCCGATGGCACATACGAAGACTCGACCAAACCATCACTGGGGGGAATTGGAGGCCCCTTTTCAAAGACTCAGCAACTTTAACTCCACTGCGATTCCCTCCTCCCGATACCCACTAGGAATAATTCCTGTACTTGTAGAAACACGCATGGCTGCACCTTTGAGAAGTGAGGGTCAAGTGGATGTTTAACCCAGAGCAAGCTGTGGGGCTGTGCTGGAGGCCCCCCACCTTTTCTGTCTGCGGTCTGTGTGCGACGTGCATCCCCGCTGTTCCAGTGGAGGAAGTGATGGACATCGGCCCTTTGGTTTGTCAACGTTTTATTGCAAAATAAGGGAGACAGGTGAAGGAGGGGAGGACCTGAAACAAGGGTGTCAAATGCATTTTCACCAGGGGCCACGTCAGCTTCGAGGTCGCCTTCTAAGGGCCAAATGCAATGTCAACTCCTTAGCAGTTAAGGAGCAGTTATAATCATACAGTCCTAAAATTATTCACCCCTTGGAAGGCAACCTCGAGGCTGATGTGGCCCCCAGTGAAAACGAGTGACACCCCTGACCTAAAGGAATCCACTTAAATGTTCACCAGGAGTCAGTAGTAAGGGTCAGTTAGCAGTGTCCCCTCTCAGGCTGGGCTTCTCCGGGGCTACACACACGTGGTCAGGCAGGGGGTCACTTGTCGGGCAGGGGGGATGCCCGCCAGCCAGGATGGCCTCTCTGGGCGTCCTCTGCTGTGATGTCTGCCTGTGCTGTCTGTCTCACGTAAAGATGTCGCGGACTAGCTCTCGATTCCACAAACTGACTGAGGGCAGGTCCCTCACTCTTCTGGCTTTTAGGGAAATGAAAACTGAGTTTTCAAAAATGCCATGAACTCTTCTGGATCATTTTGAAGCAGAGGCTTCACAAAAAGCAGCACTTCTAAGGCTCTGCCACCCCTTTCTGCAGTCAACCCATCTGTGCCTCCGACAGGAGTGGGCCTGGGGCTGCCGCAGGGGAGCAGCCTGCAGACCAGCTGTGTGTCTGGTCTGAGACACTCAGGTGGGACACTGAGGTGGGACACGTGCTGGCCCCGTGACGCAGTGGGAAGGTGGGGAGCGAAGGAGAGCCAGGGCACTGGGTGCCATTCACCTCGGGGCTCCTGCCGTGCGCTCCACGGTTTCATGTCTGTCCCTCTGCAGGTGGAGCAAAGGGTTTTCCCTAATAGTGTGACAGTCCAGGTAAGCCTAGAAGCCCCTGGACCCTACTGGGCAGCACCATTAACACCTAATCTTAGAGCAGGGAGGGCAGCGATTCAAATGGCTGCCCGAGCCTTGCCCCCAGCACAGGCAGGGCTCTGGAGGAGGAGGGACACGTGGGCGGCCCTCCCCTCTGCTGGTTCAGTGCACGTTCTTTCACACCCTGACATTCCATTCGCAGGGTGTGAGGGCTGCAGCTCCTGAGTCCTGAGAAGGCAGCCCCGGTGAGATGTCCCCACACACTTAGCCAGGGAGATAGGGAGATTTACCCTTTCCTCCTGGGCTAACGGAGCACCAGTTCTCTCCCACCTCTGCAGGGCCTCACGGCCGGAAGGGTTTCATAGCCACACACTCATGGCAGAGAAAGCCACTGCAAGTCATGGGTCCCTCCTTGAAGAGTTACTTTCTGGGGAAACTGCTGAGCCTTGTGTTTCTCAGACGGCACAGTGGGACCCTGGGGTGCAGGACTCGAGACACACAGGCCCCTCCGTGTGCCAGGTAACCCTCTGCTTGCTGAGTTTGTAACAGGCATAACTACCAGAAACACAAGCAAACTCTGCCTTCAGACCACTAACCAGTTCACAGCAAAACTGTACCAAACGCATCAGTAATGCTAGTGAGCCCGCCAAGTGGCCGAATGCTGCTTAGAAACAATTCTCTGATGAACAGTGGAGCTCAGGTGGGAGAACTAAACACCAACCAGTGAGGCAAGACATCAGAGGGTGAAATGCACCTTTCATCTCAACCTCATCGTGCCAGACCTACCCTCTCACCTCGTCCAGAACACGAGTAAAGCGAAGCCTGTGTCACCCCCAAACCTACTGAGTGATGGCAGTGGGGTCTGTAAGGGGCAATGCCCCCCACTTCCTCAGCCTCCGCTTTCTTTGAGGACCTGACACAAGGCAAGGACACGTTTGCAATTGGCACTGTTATTTTTATTAGTACGAGTATACTGAAACAATAAACTTGTACTGGTATACAGACAATTTATTTAAAACAATTTTGTTCAAATTTTGAATCAAACATTGTTTTATTATAATAATGAAATAATTTCTACCTAGAAAACCTGCAAGCACCATCAAAGAAAGGGACCATAAAATTCAATAAACAGACTCGAGTGTATCCTACAAATAGACACACCACGATTAGAAAATAGAATATGAATTCTTCCATTTTTTTAATATTTGTTTTAAAAAAGCTAGTGCAAGTACAATATTTTACACTGGAATTACAGAGAGTATGCACGCATATGGAAAAAAGTTCTCCTGTCACAATAAAAGCTCTTAACTATGTATGCACTTAATATTTTCTTTTCAATAAGGTGCAAAACATCACTCCTGCCCTAGTTTTCCTCTGTACTGGCCACGTCAGTCTGATAGTGCCCTCACAGTTCTGGCGTCTCTCTTCCCTTGGCCCGTGGGAAGCCTGCGGTTGGAGGTTTGGTGGGTAATGATCTGATAGTAAAACGTCCAGAGGGACCAGTCTCAGAGGTTCGGGGGCCAGGATCCCACTGGCTAGAAATCAGGACCCTGTCTTCACTGAAGGCCACCGTGGACACCAGGGCTGTCCTGAAACCTCCCTTTGGCTGACACTAATCTGGATTGACAGGTGAGCAGTGACGGCTGGGGAGGAAGAAACCTCCCGGAGGCCAAAAGGGCAGTATTCACAGAATCAAGTGCACAGGTGTCGAGTTCAATGTTCACAGACTAAAGAATTCGCCCTGGCCCCGGACCAGATCATAACTTAAGAGTAGGTGGTTCCTTGAGAGCCGGAGGAGACCTACACGCACCCGACTTCTCGGTAACTGCTCTTCCAAGACCACTGCTCTAAGCTAGTGCCACCTCAGGCCTGACATGCCAGAGGACAGTGTGCTACCTCAGCAAAGGCCACTGTGAACAGCATGTCTGATGGAGGCCTTCAGGCTGGCCGTGGGAAAGCGGACAGGCCCACTGGCCATCCAGACAGTAAACGAACAAACTAAAGGGAAAGAAAACTTGGGCAAAGTCTCCAATTATCTGCAGTGGAAGACTTGAGTCCTTTCAGATAAGAGACGTTACGGAAATTCTCAGGGACTATTATTGTATAGGGACTACCTATTGGCCAAATGCACTTAATTTTAATACAGCTGAACCATTGGTATGCAAGGCTAGAGGACACCAAACCAAACCTGCTGTTCCCTCCTGCCATCGTAAAGGTGAGTGTCAGCTACCAGAAATGTCGCACTTCACGGTCGGGGAGAAGCTGAGATTCTGAATTTGAGTTGTAGGCGGGCAGTACCCCACAGCTCGCCAGTCTCGGCTGGCTGGCTGGGTTTGGGGCAGACTATGACTCTTTAGAGACGTTGCCCTACATTGATTTTGCCTCAATATTAAAGAAAAAGTTAACTGAAGTAAAATGAGGCATTTAAATGGAATTTCGTGTTTTACCCCCCATTTAAATGAGGTGTGGGGGGAGAAAATGCTGAACTTTTTTTTTTTTGTCCTCGTCATGAGTCCTGTTTTATTGGTAGCTAGGATCCCTTGTTACAAACACTTCTTGTTCAGGATTATATTCTTTGGGTTTATTGGAACAGGAAGTGCTGAAAATGTCAACCATCGTTTCTGAAGAAAAAGGAGTTGCAATGGCTTAAGAGTTTAAACTAAGAAGGGAGCTCAGAGAAGTACTTTCAGCGTAGGAATGGACAGTATTTTCAAACTGCAGAACACAGAGCGGCCCTCTCGCAGAAGGGGGCTCCGTGGAACACAAACACGAGGAGGCATAGGTATAGTTTCAGAGCCTTCGACGCGGTAACTCTTCCAGGCCGTACGTAACCATACAGATCAATCGTTTAGACGTGACAAGTTTCTATATACAAAAAAAAAACATGTACTTCCAACCCTTAGGCTTCTTCTTTTTGTTTTTTTTTTTTACAAACAAGGTATGAAACTCATTGTTTCAACAGATCCGTATCTTTCAAACACTGAATCATTTCAACATTCATTGTTTCTTTTGTGCAATTTTTTAAAACATTACCTGTACTCCTCAAAGTGAGTGCCTCAAAAAGGGTTTTCTTCAGTTTCTCAAATTAGGCGTACATTAAAAAGAAAAGGAAATTCCTACAAGGTCTAGTGCTACAAGAAAAGATCCTATCGGTCAGGTAACACATTGGAAGCGAGGTCATCTCCGGAGAGGAAGTCTCGGCTCCGGAGCAGAGGTGTGCAAACTGTTTGGAGTTTCCCTGGCGACAGAAACACGACGCTGTCCGTGGAAAAGAGAGGAAACCAACCCAACACAATAGCATATGCATGTGCTTTATAAAAAAGTATATTCTCTGTATAGTTATTACTTGATGTTGTCTTAAATTCTCTGTTTCAGAAATTCTGGGTTGAAAACACAAAAGTGGAAGCAAAGGCCTCCACTCCACTTTACAGAATTGGAAAAAAAAAAAGCATAATTCCCTTTTCTTTCATATCTCCGCCAGAGAAGCTGGACTGGGCCGCGGAGACTGCCGGCCCTGTTGTCACCTGGAGTTGTCACGGGTGACTAGGAAACAGGAAGTGCAAAGGGATTTAGGGAGAACAGACCACAGTTTGTTGAGCTGCTTGCGGTTCATGAAACAGTAGCCATGACAACCAACACAGCTCAAAAAGCCTGGCCTTCGGTCCCAAGAGCTCTGCTTCTTCACCCAAATCTGAAATAGCACGGCATTAGTGTCTTCAAAAGCATCTGAGATTTTTCTCTCTATGAAAGAAATAGGTTTCCTTAGTAGTCACAGATGTTAAAGGGTACTATCCATTGTTTCCTTAAAAAACAGACAAAAAATTCCAAAGCTACAACAAAAATAAATTTTGGCAACATATTTCAGTAAAGATCAAACTATGTGCAAAGAGTGGATTTTATGATCACTAGGAGCTACTGTTCATCGTGAACATGCAGCATTATATTGCAATCTATGCAGGATCTAAGGAGTAATCCACAAGGTGCAGGAAATCCGAACATTCCTTGAAGTCGTACAACCCTACTCCAGAGCAGCCAAAGTGCTGCTTTCTGGACACATCAGTGTACCACTCACGCGCCAGCCCCGTCCCTGAGTAAGAGGTGTGAAAGGTTCCACAGAGTTCCATGTAGGGGAGGAGGAAGCTGCTGCCACTTCCTGCTGGGGGGGAAAACCCGACACACTCACCGGACAAAAAACACAGAGGGTCACGCTTCAGAGTTAGAAATGGGGTCAACAACGGCAATGAGAAAATCAAACCACCCCAAACCAAACTGGGCGAGTCAGGGAAAACAAAACTGACCGACATAGAAAATTATCCTGAAAGTCCAAATGAAAATGCAATTTGGATTTCCACTTCAAAAGATTTGAGGTAAGTGGCACCCATCTGTTTATCTCCACCCCAGTGTGGCCCAGACAAACTGAAATAATTCTTAAGTTAAACATTCTAAGGAACAGTCATTTTCCATATTTAGAAATCCTTATAAAGAGAGGTTCTTGTTTGTTGGTTTCTTATTATATTTTTTCTTTTCACCCTGACTAATTTCTCAGTGATTGTGTTCCATTGTAAACGCAAAAGGCCTGCTGTTATTAGTTTAAAAATGGAAAACAGGAAAGAAGGAACTGAAGACGGCTGTCAGTAAATATTGCAAAGTGGACATAGTACAGAGGCACATGGCTGATCCTTGTAAGTGGCAGGGCACCGGAGAATTTCTACGCCTGTCATTGCTAGGTTTGCCACACCAGAGTGGTGACAAAGGCTGCTCGGGGGGCCTCAGGCTCGCCGATGTCCGCAAGCAAGAAGAGGCTCCCTGTCCCCTGGATGTTCTTCCTATTTGAAGAGAAAGCTGCCACAGAGGAGCGGTGAGCAGTGTTTGCAGGCGGCCCCTCCGCAGCCACTGGCCCTCGGCAGACCGGGCTGCACTTCCTGCCAAGGGGCTCAGAGGTGCGGCTCAGTGTCTCAAGGACACAGACCTGAGGAGGGGCCTGCCCACTTGCGGAAAAGGGCCTGGAAAATGGGGCGATCCTGGCCATATTGCTGCAGAGCGCGCCTCAGAGATGACTCTGCCTCCTTCCTCTGCACATTCACTACTCCTCATGGTGACGGGGGAACTGCAGCTCATCCCCCAGATCTCCTTTGCTCTTTCTGCAGCACCCATGACAGATGCCTGGGCTCCTGAAGGTTCCTGCCCAGCACTCAGCATCCACAGCAGCAGGGGGAGCGCGCAGTGGGAGGCTCTCCCCTTCCTGGCTCCTTCCCTCCAAACGAGGAATAAGCCGAAAGGGCCTATGAGCTTCAGCAAGAGCACACGGATCAGACTCTATTGGCACGAAAAGTATTGCACATGCTAATAAAGCAGGAGAATGACATGGGACAACGCTTAGAAAGAACCAATTCTCTTACGGTTTCTATACCTGAAATAGAAGCACAAAAATGATGATGTTCCTATTGCTCCAAGCCATGGATGTTTTCCCACTTTAGTGTTGGTGCTGTGGATCCAGCTGGTTCGGTACTCAGAGGGAGCCGGAAGGTGGTGTGTGTTTTTCTGAGTCCACATGAGTGGCTGTAATTAGTGGTACTAATTAATGAGGACAATGTCGATGTGGCAGCCCGTATTCCTCTTACCATCAAAGGTTATAAAACAAGAAGAAAAAACAAAACCTAATAACTGCAAGTGCCCTGAGCAGAATATATGGAAGATTAAGCAAGTTCTCTGAACAGAAACGCTTTAAAAATACAGCACTAAATAAGCATTACGACTGGGAGAATGGGCCCGCCCAGCTCTCTGCTGGCATGCTGAGAGGGGAATGAAATTCGAAGAGAGTCCAGGACCGGTTTTCTAGCTATTCTATATCTAGTCAAATGTTTTTGGTACATCCCAGAAAATGGCTTATAAAAAAATCATTACTCCCAGGGAGAACAAAATGTGAAGGAGTACCAGATACCCAAAATGTGAGTTGACGTGAGAATTTCTTTTTAAATTTGTGAAATGGAAAAAGTACTATATTCAATGGTAAAAGAAAAAAAAAATCAGGAGTATTTGTTCAGATTAGTTGCAGCCATTCCGAGTAAGAATATTGAAAAAAAAATTCTCCCTGCTTATAAAGCTTTTTTAAAAAAGTACTTTGAAATGCAGACTCAAAACCTACAAATAATATTTCCGTTCTCTGGGAATGAAAGGCTTAAACTATAAAATACCCTTTCTGGGTTTGTACCAAACATTAAATCTTGACTCGATTGCAGATGGGAAAAAAAAGTCACTCAGGAAATAACATTAACAACAACAGTAATGAAGTAATTGTTTAAAAAAAACAAAACTTGCTCACATACAGAAATGTCTCTACGGAAAACTCTCTCAATGAATCTGAAGAAAATTCTCCGAGTTGTCCTGCTAAGACCTGGGTTTTGTGACGGACGTGGCAGAACGACCAAAATGAATCTTGGGAGGAACATAACCTTATAAAACAGCCTACAGTTTAGGCAGGTTAGAACGTAATTCTGCTACATTTATTTATGCTCGTTCAGTCCCCCAAACCTTTCCCACAATGTTATTGGATAAGAACTGCAGGAATATCACACAAATTATAAACTCAAGATGTGCAAATCGCAAGGTTCTTTAAAAGTTCATCTTAAAAAGAAAAACACTGGACAAAAATGAGTATTCTTTCTTTCCATCCCTTTTCTCTCAGTCTCTCTGCCAGCTGTGCATATGCCTTTAATTCTTTCTCAAACATCAAAGTGAGAAGTGCCTTCCTGCCAGGCTGTCCTTGGTGGTCGTTCCTTGTCACATACTAGTTCAGAATTCACATTCATCCTGTTACACCACATCGAAACTTTCAAAATCTTGACGTGAGAAACTCTGCAGAGCTGAAATGTAGTTACAGTGTTGAAAAAAGGAAAGCAACTTAGTTTTTTTTGTTTTTCTTCCCAAAGACTTTAAAGTGAGATACAGTACTTGTTGAATGATAGACCAAGATGCTTGGTAATAAAGTGTGAACAGCATTTTAAGTGCTTAGAGATAGTAATATATATGCTTGTCTTCAAAATCTAATTCCTCACGTCACACTGGAATCTGAAAAAAGTGGCACCCGAGTTGTCCATAGTCATAAACTATAAACAGTACTAGAGTTAAAAGACAAAAGATTTGCAAACCCAATGTGAAGAGCTTCCAGTGCTCTCTGAAGGGCAGTTTGTGGCTACCTCTTGGGAGAGAAGTCAATGTGATAACCTGATTGGTTTTCCTAACACTGCACGGAGACCAGAATGGGTGTTTGCTCTCCACCCCACTGCCCACCGGCCCGACGCGGAGCACGCCGCCGCCCACCAGACACCCTGGCGACGTCACTGCTCTAGTGAAGCACAAACGAAATCCCACATGTGGCAGTTGCTCTTAAAAAAATCAGTGCAGTCAGGCCCCATAGGGGGAATATATATCTATATGATTAAAAGTTGCTTTTATTGTAAAATATGTTGGAGGGGAAAATGTTCTTTTACACGGTTCTCTTTCCATCTGCTGTCGATATCTTTCTAGGGTGCCCTGAAGCTGGGTCCCTGATATTTATTCTGCACATGAGACCTCCTGAGGACGTGTCTCTTGAACTCCAATCCCGTGCTGAGAGCAAGAGAGAGTGAGACCAGATGGGGGAGGCAGAGAGAAAAAGACCCTCACTTGTTGTGGCACCCCTGCAGCCCTGCACACACGCACCCCCTGCAATTCCCTTCCCTCCAAACTTCCTCGGAACACCAGGAGAAGCTGCGCCCAGTGGATGCTTCTGTGCGGCTGGAAAAGGCGGGCTCTTTAAAGCCACATTCATCTCCACCAGGATGCCTGGCGCCTGGACTGGCCCTGTTCTAGCCCCCACTTGCCTACTGGCAGACAATCAGAAAAAGCATATGCACCCGCCTCCTGCGCAACACCAGCTGTAACTCTAATGACAAGGTTATAACAGAAACCTAAAGGAAGAGGATAACATGTAAATACTGTGTTATTTAGCCTACAGTACAGTAATCTGGATACAAATGATAAAGGAGAGCCGAATTTCCTTTCCCCACACCGCTTCTACTTGCCTACATTAGACCGGCCTTCAATGCAAATCTTAACCTCCTGAGGAATTAGAGAAGGCTTAGGAAGAGTCAAAGGTGGCTCGTCTTCCGACTTCTCCAGTTTGCGGGTCTCCGGCGCCGACCACCTCCTCTTCCTCGTTGTTGTGGGCTTGCTGGGTTCTATTTTGGTGAGCAAGGGCGCTGCAGGCAATCCTATTTTTTCTGGAAACTTCAGTTCGCCATTCTCAGAGAGCATCTGGGCACTTCCCTGATTGATTCCGTTTTCCTGCTCTGCGTACCTGTGTCTACTGCCCGCAAGGGTGTCGGTCTTTGAGTGCTTCAGCAGGACGCTGGCGGGATCCACAGACTGGCCCTTTTTAACAGAGCCGTTCTTCAGGTTCTTGAGGGTCAGCGAGATGCAGACATCCCCAACGGAGAGTTTGGAACACGGCAAATCAAAGAGTTGGCTGGTTCTCTCTGGACAGCAGGAGGACCAGCCCTGTCCAAACACAAAAAAAGGGTACTCTACCAAAACTTCCACGCTGACCTGTGGACACAGTGAGAGACAGAGGAAAAAGAAAGGAAACCAATGAAAACATTTTATTATGGTTTTATTTCATACACACACACACACACACACACACACACAGAAGCTAAATGGAGAAAAAGAAGACTTAGTTCCAGAAACCTCCTCCACTAACACGCAAATGAGGCTTTTAATTTTCTGCTGCACCTGTACTTACCACATGCAGATACTGATCAGAAGCCAGGGTGAGAGTCCATTCAGCACTCGAAATATCTTTTCAGTAAGTTATCAGCTCTGTAACTGGTCTCCATTCAAACAAGTCAACACACCCCCAAGGATGAAAGAACATCTACTTAGTGTTCAGCTCTGACCAAAGCTCTGTGGTGATTCATACCCAGGATACAGTCTGGTGCTTCATTAGCTCCCTGGACAAATGCTCCTCTCATGCGTAACAGGGCTAACATGGATTGGAGTTAGACCGTATCGTATCGTAAGCTCCATGAGGCAAGCACTTATGTGTTTATCACTGTATCCCTGGCTCTGGGAAGGGTCTGAGGCACACAGTTCAGGCTTAATGTTTACTGGATAAATGAACATGCACCCTGGGAATTTAAAGGAAGCAGAATCAGTGAGGGCTAGAGTCCACAAGGAGGGCTCTCACCCAGGCCCTGAGGGAGGGGCAGGATCTGGAGAGGTCTGAGCCGAGAACACTGCTTGTCCACCTGCAAGGTCAAGTCCAGATACTGAAATCAGTTCCTGCATTTATTTGAAAATGAGTATTGAAAGTGGGGGAAGCCCAGGATCTTTTCCATAGCCGCCATTTTCTCCACACTCTTACATGCCATGAACTGTGCTGAGAAAATAGATTGAAAAAGACAGTCCTGACCCCAAAGGAGTTCACAATCAAGTGGGCAAAAAAAGGCACATGAACAGTAATTTCCAGTAAATGTGGCGAGTGGGGTTATAATACTTTGCACGGTATTAAGTTGTGGGAGGCTGAAGTCCCGCTGGAGAAGAGTGAGGACGTTTTCTTACGTGAGGGTGCACTGCGCTGGGAAAAGTAATGGGGTAGAAGACAATGGGGACGGCACAGAGGTGTGGCCGCAAGGAGGAACACTCCTGGAGGTGGGACTACGACATAAAGGCCAGGGGACAGTGTGTGCAGGGATCTGCAAACCGCCCAGGGAAAGTCTCACTATTGCCATCAAACCAGGGTGACATGCACTTGATGTTTTAATAGTTTAACTGCCCTAGAAATTTCATTTCTTCATCTTTATGCTATATAAAACAAGAAAAAGAAAATAATGAAGTAGCTTTAAAAAATTCATTTTCAAGAGTTTTTCTAGAAGAGGACAACTAAATACTCTGAAAAACAAGCAGATACTCTGGACAAAAGGTAAAAAAAAAATTCCTTACAGCTCTAGACAGAAACTAAGATAGTAAAAAACAAACAAACAAACAAACAAAAAACCCACTGCATCAGGATCAGGAAAGGGCAATGGCCCAAAGACGAGAATCTATTGTTTGGGGTGAGTTCCCCCAAGGGCATTTGCACTTCCAAAGTGGAGCAGTTGTGAAATCCAGTGGGCTTTTGGTGATTTCCAAAGCACTGGGGGGCGCTGTTGTGGGGAGGGCAGGGAATGGAGGTCCGGGCACACGAAGGAGGAGTGCTCGCTCTATGGTGAGCCCACTCTTCTGGATTGTGATTCCAAAGTGCTATACGCTAGAAGTGACGTGAACCAGAAGCAGACAAGCTTCCTCGAGGTCTGAAGTCCAGAATTTAATCATCTTAGTTCCTAAACTGGTTTAAAGTTTTGAACTATTTCTGCAATTTTTCAAGTAAAAGACATTCATTTAAAAGGGGGAGCGGTCCATGAACAGACCAGATGACATGAATAAAAAACATTAGAAATAACAGTTAATAAAACATACCCACAGGGCCTTCTGATACACAGTCATCCAACACAGACTTTAAAATGACTACATTTACTATATTTAAGGAGATTAAAGACAAGCGTGAGGATGTGGGTAGAGACCTAGAATCTACTTTTAAAAGATCAATGGAAATTGCAGAACAAAAAAGCATCCACTAAAATAAAGAATACAATGGATTTCCCAACAGAGAAGACACAGTTGAAGAGAAAATTAGTGAACTGGATTCGTTCACTGGAACTTCGGAAGAAACACAGAGGCAAGGAGACGGCTGACGCGGGAGAGACGGTGGGGGACCTACAACACACACTGAGAAGACCCACCAGACACATGATTGGAATGAGGAGGAACAAGGGATCACCGGGCAGAAATAATACTTAAGAAGATAATGGCTAAGAATTTTCTAAAAATGGTAAGAGATAATAAGCCACAGATTCAAGAAGTCCTAACCCCAGAGCAGAAAAAATACAAAGACGTTCTCACCGAAGCAGGTCCTAGTTTAACTGCTGTAAACCAAAAACAGGGAAACAATACTTTAAAGGCCTTCAGAACAAAATATACATTACATCCAAACAAGCAACAATTAAACTCACAATGAACTTTTCAATAAAATTAATGAAGCTAGAAGACAATCGACTATTTTTAAAGTATGAAATAAAAAATAAAAAAGGAGCTGCCAACCAAGAATTCAATGTCAAACAAAAATTCCTTCAAGAATGAAGGCAAAATAAAGACATTTTTCAGACAAACAGTAATTGAGGCAGTTCACCAGCAAGAGATCTACTAGGGCAAATACTAAAGAGTATTCTTTAGGTGGAGGAAACATGAAACTAGATAGAAGACCAGATGCAGGGAGCACAGGACAGCAAAGAGAATGGCAGACACGTGAGCAAATCAACATAACACTGGCTACATACAATAATGTTAATGATGTCCTGCTGCATTTTACACAGAGGCATACAAACACCAAAGTAATTAAACCCCCCCAAACTTAAAAATAGTAAAGTCCCATGTAATTTCCATGGATTGTGATTTTTCCATTTCGCCTTTATCATTTTCGATCACTGTGATGGATGTAGTTTTAGACAAATTTCTTGAATGATATACTGTATTTGCCTCATAGAAGACATACATATTTTTAGAAGAAATAATTACAATGAATTTATATGTAAGCCTATTACTACAATGTGTGAGCATGAGCCCCTATAAATGTGAATATTATCTGGGGAAAACTGTATAGATTTGAGCTATTTTAATAATGTAAAGAAAGCTAAAATTTTTGACAGATACATGCAGAAAAATGAAACTAGACCACCTTCTTACACCACACACAAGAATAAATCCAAAATGAATCAAAGACATAAATGTTAGACCCAAAACCATAAAAATCCTAGAAGAAAACATGGGTGGCAAAATCTTGGACATTGCTTGTAACAATTTTTTATTGGATATATCTCCTCAGGCAAGGGAAACAAAAGAAAAAAATAAAGAAATGGGATTACATTTCTTTAAACTAAACTAAAAACGTTTTGCACAGCTAAGGAAGTCATCAACAGAATAAAAAGACCATCCACAGAATGGGAGAACATATTTGCTGATGCATCTGATAAGGTGTTAATATCCAAAATTTATAAAGAACTTACAAAACTCAACATCAAAAAAACAATCAACCCAATTTAAAAATGGGCATAGGACCTGAATAGACATTTCTTCAAAGAGGACATTCAGATGGACAGTAGACATATGAAAAGATGCTCAATGTCACTAATCATCAGAGAAATGCAAATTTAAACTACAATGAGGTACAATCTCACACCTGTCAGAATGGTTTTCATCAATAAACCAACAAGCAACCAGTGCTGGCAAGGATGTAGAGAAAGGGGAACCTTTTGCACTGTTGGTGGAAATGCAGACTGGTGCAGCCACTGTGGAAAACAGTATGGACATACCTCAAAAAATTAAAAATGGATCTGCCTTTTGACCCAGCTATCCCACTTCTGGGAATATACCTGAAGGAACCCAAAACACTAATTCGAAAGAACATACACACCCCTATATTCATTGCAGAATTACTTACAGTGGCCAAGATATGAAAGCTGCCCAAGTGTCCATCAGTGGGTGAGTGGATAAAACAACTATGGGATATTTACACAATGGAATTCTACTTGGCCATAAAAAAGAAGAAAATTGTGCCCTTTGCAACTGTATGAATGGACCTGGAGAACATTGGGCTGAGTGAAATAAGCCCATCAGAGAAAGACAAATACCATATGATTTCACTCATAGGTGGAATCTAATGAATAAACTGAACTAACAAGGAACATGGGGACACGCTCATACATGGAGAACAGAGGACAGGTAGTTGAGATTAGAGGTTGGGGGAAGAGGGATTGAGCAAAAAGGAGAAAGGACTCATAGACATGGACAACAGTGTGGTGACTGCTGAGGGGACAAGGGTACTCAATGGTAATGGAAAAAATACAATAAAGATTAAATTAAAAAAATTTTCAGGCCCTGGCTGGTGTAGCTCAGCGGATTGGGTGCAGGCCTCCAAACCAAAGCATCGCCGGTTTGATTCCAGTCAGGGCACATGCCTAAGTTGCAGGCCATTTCCCCAGTACAGGGTGTGCTAGAGGCAACCACACATTGATGTTTCACTCCCTCTCTTTCTCCCTCCCTTCCCCATCTTTCTAAAATAAATAAATAAAATCTTTAAAAAAATTTAAAAAGCTAAAATTTTTTTGAGTATCTACTATCTGTCAACATTCTGTACAAACTTTCCAAAAAGCATTCTATTTAACGCTAACAATATAGTAGTGAACAAAACACTTGTTCCAATTTACAAATAAGGAACTATAGTCTCAGAAAGATTAAATCACTTGCCTCATGTCACAGCTATAAATTGATGGGACTGGGATTGAATTTCAGTCTCTTTGACCACAAACCCATTTTCTTTTTCCTAAGCTCCTGATCTCTGCCTGTGTGAATGAAGATATTATAATACCAGAAAAAGAGATGAACTTGACATTCCTACTACCCCCAACAGTGGTGAATCTCACTTGCAATAAATAGGGTTGCAATGGCACAAG